CTTAGGTGCGAAAACATATAAAATCCAAAACTGGGATTTTTCCAAGTGAGTTCTGGGGATCTAACGTCCCCAACACTCATCCACTGTCTTCGGTGAGCACTGTTTCACTCCAGAACAGGGTTGAACTCCACTTGTTACGATTTCTCATCAGAACTCGGAGAAACTTTCGTATCGGACTAGTCATTAGTGAGCGCAATACGCCGAAAAATAGAGAAAGACATGAGAAGAATGAACAAAAACTGGAAAGAACTAGAAAGGGAAGCCCAGGACAGAGCTGTTTGTAGAAAACTTGTGGGGGACCTGTGTTCGATTGGGGGTAACAGGCGAAAGAGAAAGAGAGGGTTGTGGAGATTGTTGAGTTACTTCATGATTTCAAAAAGTAATCCAACAATCCGTACAACCCTATCATGCGAACACTTATTATACCAAATGATATCAACAGATGAGTCTAGAACTTGTAATTACTGTCTGCATAACAGAAATAAAGTGGGCTTGGCACAATTAAATAAATTTCTTCTCTAATATGCCAACTCAGTGGTCTACAGGTCCTTAGTTAGATTACCAAGAACAGAAGTAGAGGATAATCACTACTAATCAGTCTCATACTAGGATGAAACGGTTGTTCAGTGATTCCACGTTTCTAATGGTTACCTAACATTGATCGATTCACGACCTCCAGTTAACAGCTATTGTAAAGTCCCATGTTTCATCATACTATTTTATCTGAACTGATTACCATTGATCAGTCCATTGATCAGTTCAATGAGACGCAACAATTTTCACAAAATCCTATTCCATCGCTTTACTTATAGCGTAGGAAGGATATTCATCTGTCAGCTAAAGAACAAGTATAATGTACAACAGTTCACTCGGTTCTACTTCATCAGTATAAACCATGACCTTCAAAAATAGATGAAACTTGTAGGTGACTAGTATTTGGTCATGGGCTCCTTCTAACTTATTGCTGCTGTATTTTGAGACCATCGAGACAATAATTTTTTATGTTAAACATAAAGTATGTTAACTGACCGGTTAAATTGTGAAATCTAGTCTACAAAGATGATTAATGTAGACAGTACGTATGCCCATCCAACAAAAACATTCATATCATATGATTTAGGAAAAAATGGCCGATCGATCAGTTTATGAAATCATTGACCACTGGACTGAACCATGTAGAAGACTACGTGATTAAGAGTCGGTACATTTATCGATACCAATGATTAGAAATTTTCAGTGACTTAATTCAGAATTGTTTACAATCGCACAGTAGCATTCATTCTTTGTCTTAAATTATTTAGATATTTTAAAACATAAGTCTCTGGAAAGATTTCTACTACTAATTATACAAACATTCATTCACCCACTTTGTGATATCTAGCTAACGTTATATTATTCAGTACTGATCTTGAACTGATACAAATATGTGTTAGGCTTTGCATTACTTACAAACGAATAATTTTCATATGATAAAGTTTTGAAGATTATTGAGTTATTGTGAAATCATAAATCGATCAATATTAGACAACCATTAGAAACCTGGAAACACTGAACAACCGTTTAATCCTATGTATGAGACTCATCGGCGGGCAAGATTGAAGGTCCTGGGTTTGATTCCTGCGAATTTCTGATGAATAAGACCTAAACAGCCTGTTGACATTTCACGAATTTTTTACGGTTGGAGATTCTATAAATAAAAGATGTCAATTTTCATTTACCTTGATGTAAATTTTTCCTCTCTGATCGTCTCGTGTATTTATAATATCGAAGAGAGTTTTTAGTTTGACTGATAATATATACAGATCTCACATACTTTCGACATTACTCGACACTTACTTTTACAGTTTTTAAATTGCCACGTAATATCTATCATTCTTTCCCACGCTTTGAAAGAAAGGTGTTTTTCAGTTTGTTTTGGAGAATGCTGAAGGTATTTAGTGAAGTTTGTGGGAATTATTTCTAGATCATTGGGAATATAGTTGGGCAGAGATATTCGAAAAACTTGCACCCTCTTAACAAGTGTTGGCTTATTCGATACTAACCATCCATTTCATTCATATCATTCTCCATGTAGATTTTCTGGTAGGACAAGACACCAATAAAGTAGGTTTCGTGCATACAAGTAAAGGTATAAAAAACTCGACAATGACCTTGTCAAAAACTTGTATTCTTAAACACGTTTCTAATAGAAACATTGTCAAGATTCTCATCTTATCAAAGGGAAAGATATTTCATTAAAAATTGTAGATAGTTCGTTTACCAATGGGGATGTTAGATCCCCAGAACTCGCTTGGTAAATGTCTTTATTTTGGATTTATTTCATGGACCAATCAGTTGACCTTGAGATCACATTTCCCACCAGGAAAATCCTTGGCTGTGACTGGTTATTGTGTCATTTTAGTGTGCTATTTTGTGACTGTCCCAAGGAAGTCTCTATAGAGTATATATATAAACGCAGTTTGAGTGCTTGAATCCAATGTTTGCTGGCTGGGTGTTTGTAGAATACAATTTCTATGTTATATCAAGACTTCTTACTGATTCAATTCGGTCAAGGGATCACAGTAGCCTACCTGGAGGCTGGTTCATTGTTTTGTTCTCGTTATTCGACTAAGGTGAACTCGTAATAACTGAAGCATACCTAGAGACGAGCGTAATCTAATTTTTTTCCAACTTGTGTGATTAAGCAGTAACTGGTTCTTTTTCTGATTTGTTTTGCATGGTATTGTAATGAAAACTTGTTGATATATTCCACGCTGAACATTTCATATTGTACTAAGCATGCAGTAGTTAAATGATGAATGAATCATTGTTAGACTACATATTAAAAACTCACAAACACTGAACTGTCATTTCATCCGTTATGGACCCACCAGCAAAGCTCATCGAAGATCCGTGCTACACGCAGGATTCGAACCCAGTTCCTTCAGTCTTGCAGGCGAAAGCCTAACCTCTGGAATACCAAGCCTGTGGAGTCCGTGTTAATGTGTAACTCTGATCAATGTAGGGATTTCGCGCTACTCCACCCACAGGTAGTTATTGTCTACAACCAACACGGTTTAAGCCCACTGGTCATATCTTCTCAGTAGAACTCGGAGAATTCTCTCACGAAGCTAGTCAGTAGTGAGTACACTGCACATGTAGTATTGAGTAAAACCATTTCTATTATTATTATTAACAACGAAATAACAAAAGTCCTAGTTCAAGCTTAGAAGTGATAGGTTAAACTTGGATAAATTCACTCTAACGTAATAATAACCACAAAACACTATTAGAATTACGTAATAAGAAATAAGTAAACGATTCGATAGTGGGAGAATAACGACTGAAACAGTGGAAAAATGACAAACCAATACAGAATATGAGAATAATAATGGTCAAATAAAAAGGTTAAGCATTAGTGCACAAGTATGAAGGCCCCGGGTTCGAATCCTGCGAGTGACGAGAGTCTTGGATAGGCACTGCTGATGAGTCCCATACCAGGACGAAATGGCCATCCAGTACTTCCTGATTTCTGATGGTGGTCTAACATTAATTGATTCATGCTTTCAAAGTTTCATCCTTCCAAGGGACACATAAATCGGGATTCCTATAACTTCTGCTCTATGTAGGAGGTGGGATCGAACTCCATCAGTAAATAACAGAGGCAAACGATAAATCACTCGAAACAACTTCGTTTTTATCTAATATTCTGACCACTATCACAAGCAGGTGTTCCAAGAACCTGTTACATGTCATTTCTATTTGACTCTTCCCAATGCATCCTAACAGATGTTCACTTATTCGCTAGTAATTGTGACAAGAATTTAAGTTGAACAGTAATTTTCCTTTCCTAAATAAAAATATTATTAAATTTTTATAGATTTTTATAAATTTCACCTTGTATAAACAAAACATAGCTTTATTCATATCAAGTGAAAAAAAGAATTAAGAGGCAAATAAAACAAGATGACAGACTAAACAAACTACTTTCTCGTATGCATATAATCAGTAGTAAGTGTATGTATAGAGAGAGAGAGAGGAAATCTATATTTTAAATAAATAGTTAATGTGTGTGAAAGTCAAGACTAAAAAAATTCTGAAAGAAATAGATAAATATCATTGAAAAATAAAGTTTGTTTATATAGAGAAACTTATCACTTATGTTTGGTGCCTAGTCAATTATGCATAAATGTATGTACTGATTTGTTTCGATTTCTTTATTTTATAAAAAAGTATCTGAAGAAAGATATTAAAGTTACTGATCACTTGTTGAAATCGTAAATCGATCAATAGTAGACTACTGTTAGAGATCTAAAAGCACTGGGTGGCCGTTTTGTCCTGGTCTGGGACATAGCAGTGACCATTTACGACTTCTGCAACTCATAGGAGTCGGGCCCAGGACCTTCGGTGTTGTGCGCGAACGCCTAACCTCTGTATCACTGAGACAGCGGCATTCCACGGCGTTAAAGTCTAAATTCGATCAATCTACCGTGAGAATATGATTGAATTTAATTTGAATTTTCATTCTAGTGAGTGATGAGGCTTCCATATACATGAACATTATAACACACTCGCAACTGCCAAGCACAAATTGTTTCGCCAAGGAAACTTACTTACTTACGTCTGTTACCTCGAGTTGAGCATAGGCCACCAACTGGCATTCTCCAACCTACTGTCTCATGGGTCGCCCTTTCTGGTTCTGTTTCAGTTGTCTTTCATTCTTCTCATACCTATCTCTATTTCTCAGCGTAATGTGTTCCTTAGACTTCCCCTTTTCTTTTGACCCTGAGGGCTGGTCTTGAAACACAAGATTTGGATACTTTCTTATTCAAAGGATTGTAATTATTTTCCCTGAAATTGAATTTCAATTTAGATAAATTTTAAGAAAATTGATTTAAACAAGCTATTTATTTGAAATTCAAATTTATTTTTACATCGTTTGTATGTCTTTTTTCAGTTTGTTTATCTACTATTTCAAAAACAAATAATTTTCAACAATTACTTAATTTAATCAAGAAATCATGTCTCTACCATATTCACAAGGTCATCTTACATTGAAAGAATATTTGTCATTACATTCGTCTGAGACTAGCAACAGACCATTACATTCATTACGTAATAATAATAATAACAATCATGTTTCAACAGAACCAACTCTTGACCTGAAACATAAAACATTTCCTACATCCATGAATAATAATTCATTCATTGACCGAATAATCAATAAACCGGAAGTCAATCCAATCACACAACCAATCAATAACCTGTCAACGACAACAACGTTCAACAGACGTACCGCAACGAATTTCACAAATCGACAACATCAACATCAACAGCTGAAACGATCAAATACAGTTGGTGCAACTGATATAATTAAAACTATGAATGAGAAAATTCTAGTTGATTATTTAACAAATAAATTTAGTAATAATAATTATACTACTAATATTAATAATAGTAGTAACAATAATAGTAATAAGGTATTTGATGAAAAATTACCACAACCACGATTATTTCAACGTGCACAAAGTGAACGTCCTATTCGTAATGCTTCAATTGGTAATCATAATCATAATAGTAATTTGCCACCTTATCCCTTAAACAATGAACGATCATCTTCATCATCAACATTTCGTTCTGTGTTTTCACAACGTGGTTATAATTTCGCTAGATCATTTTGGCAAGAAAATTTCACACCTGATTTATATGACAAAAAATCATCATTAGGTAGGTAAGTAAATAAAAATTTGTAATATTTTTTGAAAAGAAAAAGAATTACAGTTTATACACATTGATATCATCAATTGATCATTGTTAGATCACCATTAGAAACCCACAAGCACTGGGATGAGACTCATTAAAGTGCCCATCTACGCACACCAGTACTCACAGGAATCAAACCCAGTACCTCTGGACCCGCGTGCGAATGCCTGAGCTGGTGGCATCCAATGGTTTTCATGTCTAGCTCTGATCAGTAGTGATTAATATCGAAACTTGGAAGCACTAGACTGTTGTTTCTTCTGAGTGCAACACTCCTCATCGGCAGTGTGCATCCACAAATCCGATACGCGGGACTCTAATCCTTGACCTTCGAATTCTCGCTTTAGCTTATATCTTCCTGTCTACTGAGACATTAACACTGTCGGATGTCGGCTGAGTAGTCAAGAGGTCAAACATTCTCTCGTGAGTATGAAGGACTTTGGTTCGAATCCCGCCTACAGAGGTGGTGAATCCATATTGTTAATGATGAGTCTCATAGTAGGATGACTATTCAGTACTTTTCTTTCTGTACAATGGTGGTTTAAAACCGATCGGCTCATGATTTTAATGAAAATTCATTCGAATAGTTTACAGTTATTCTATAATGCAAAGATTTTTAATAATCCTTGAACCTTTGATGAATACAATCAAAGAACATTAATATCTTGAAGATCTTTTATATTCATCTTCTTCTCTTTCACTGCTTTTTTTAAACTACTATTGATATTTTGCATGAAAGTGTTGTGGAGTTTCTTGAGTTACTTTAATGACATCATGTTTCGATCAATGTTTTGTCAATATCAGAAACCGATATACGCTGGACAGCCCTTTAGTCATGGTAAAAGGACTAATCAGTAGTGCTCATCTACGACTCCCGCTACTCTCAGGACTCGAAACCAGGACCTTAAGTCTTGAACGCTGACACATCACCTCTGGGTCACTGAGCCGATAGCATCCAATGATGCTGATGTCTAACTCTGATCATTCTATGGATTTTTGCACAACCTCCCGCGTTTACCTTCGGTAGGTAATTGCCTACACCCGACAGGGTTGAACTACAATGATTACGTCTTCTTAGAACTAGAACTTGGAGGAATTTCCTAAAGAAGCTAGTCACCAGTGAACATGTTATATGATTTTTCATTACAGAGTAATGGAGATTGTTGTTTGTAATTAAAATTGGTGCTTTCAGGTTTCTAATGGTGGTCTTACAATGATTCATTCATGATTTCTCAATCATGAACAACAATCTTTATAACTCTCCAGTCAAAGATTATCATTATTAATTATTATTACTACTACTGCTATTATTAATTAATTAATTTGTGTTTCAATATGAAATTTAAACTGAATACAACAAAAAACCCATGTAATTCACTTAATTTATTTATAAAAGCCGAAAAATTTTAAAAAAATATGACTTTTATTACATAAATTCAAGAATAAATGTACTTTCAATGTTCAGTAATTCAATTTGTTTTAATTTGTTGCATTTTAAATTATTGAAATTAGTCAAAATGAAATTCTAAATAAGCAAGTAAGTCGATAAGATTTTATTCCGTTCATAGTAAAAATGCAGAATTTTTAAATTATAAGCGAAGATAGATTGTGATGAACAATGGAATCTCTAGAACATGTGTTTTGCGTTATTTGAGACTCAACAGCTGCACTAAACACGCAGTGAATAGTCATTTTTCAAAAAAGACAGGTCAATTACGGTTGTATATTTCTATCGGATGATTTAAACAAGTTCAGTGAAAACTAGAAGTAACATTTAAAACTGCAGCTGTTTAGTTGAAACTTTTTTCTTTTATTTCAAAAATAAATCGATAAGTGATACACATTGAAATCATCGATCAGTCATTATTAGACCAGTATTAGAATCCTGAAAACACTGGACGGCTGTCAAGTCTTGGTATGGGACTTATCAACGGTGAGTATTGATGACTCCTGCTACTCGTAGGATTTGAACTCGACGCCTTCGGTCTCGCACGCGAACACTTAACCTCTAGATGACTGAGCCGGTATCCTACAGTGTGTTAACGTCTATTTCTTATCAATCTAAGGATTTCGCGTAACCTTAGCCAATGTCTTCGAAAATTACTGCCTCCACTAGATACGGTTAGATTCTACTGGTCACGGTTTCTCACTAGAAATCCGAGAATTTCTTCATCAAGCTAGTCACTAGTGAGCATATAAATGATAGTTCCCCCATATCCAGGACTCGATTTAATCGTTTTTCTACGTTGATCTGACTAGTTATACGATGTTACATGATAATAGCAATAGATAAGAATCTTTGAACCAATCGATGACTAACATTGTACAAAACAGCTGTGTGTATGAATAGTAGGCTGATCGAAGAAGAGATTGCTAAAAATAGTGTTAACCTTGCTTAATTGAACGATTCGGTTACTCTCAACAACCTGCCACACCCACAGATCTGTCAACTTATCATTTTTCAGTTTGAAATAGGATAATTTTATGTATTAAGCCTTTCACATGCTATCGAATTTCAAATAAATCAATCTGATCGATCAATAGAAAGTAGGAAATTATATAACTATTGAAACATTACTTACTTACTTACTAACTTTCACCTGTTAACCTTAATGGAGTTCAGGTCGCCAACCACTATTCTCCAACCTACTCCTAACCTGGGCATTCTTGTATAGTTCTACTCGAATGTTGTTTATTCTTCCTACGTCTGTCTCTATTTCTTGGCATAATGTTTTTTTCTGGTCTTCCTCTTTTCCTTTGACCTTGAGGATTCAAAGTGAGGAGTTGGAACATTACAAGAATATTAAGTAAAATAAATTTATCTGCACTACTGAAACTGATAATATAAGTAGAATATGTTTCAAGTCTTTGTGCTATATTCCATTATTATCTTGTTAACTATAACAGATTTATCAATGGTATGCCAACCATAAACTTTAATTAAAGTGTAAAATTTTTAAAATAAGTTTCCTATTTCCAATTAGAAGATTCTTGATAATTAGAGACAACTGATTACATTAGCATTTTAATCTAATTCAAAATAATTTAGCTATATATAAAACCAACTCGCCTTGTATTCAAACTAGAGAATTTACAGTTTTTGTAATGATGATAGTGTCAATTAGAGTTATGTAGATTAGTGTTTTTACACATATGAAATCATGAAACGATCATTGTGAGACCACCATCAGAAACCTGGAAGCACTGGTAGGCCGTTTTGTCCTGGTATGGGACTCAGCAGCAGTGCGCATCCACGACTACTGCATCTCACAGGATCAGAGTTAGACATTAAAACAATTAGTGGCCGGTGGTCCAAAGGTTAGGCGTTGGCGCACAAGACCGAAGGTCCTGGGTTCGAATCCTGTGAGATGCAGCAGTCATGGATGGACACTACTGATGAGCTCCATACGAGGACGAAACGGCCATCCAATAATGATAGTGATGATTACACTTGAATCAAACATAAAATACATTTTTTTCCAATGCATCATTGATAATTTGTTTTCAGTTACAGGTAAAATGTAATTTAGTCAGTTCAGTGTGTTAGAAACGATTACTTTCAATGTTCATTTTCACTTTTGTTTTATTATTATTGTTTTCAGTTCAGATATTGGTCGTTTCACCGCAATCAAACAGTTATTAGATAGAAATCGTTTAAAAAACGGTCAACTAACATTAGATGATAATATAATGATCGATACGAAAAGATTGTTATCACTTGGTAACAGTGTTTCTCGTAATCCTTATGTAAATAAATCATCTGTGACAAATGGATCGTCTATATCATCGTCTTCATCTTCATCTATTCTGAATCATCCCACTTTGACAACTCACTCAAATACAACGGCATCATCTTTGCCAACTGGATTAGCAACTTTAATAAATTTACAACGATTATCTTCTAATAATAATCAGAATATTACGAAAGAGATATGGAGTGAAAAATTTGTGGAAGAATTTTTGAAAAAGTCTTCATTATTAACGAATAATTTAGTGAATAATCAAAATGACTGCGTTTCTATAGCGAGTAGTTTTACAGGTATTTTTTTATTGATTTTTTTTCATACTACTGTTATGGTTATTAGTAATATCAATACTACTACGACTAATAATAATAATAATGGCTTTACTCAGTGTTAAATATTCAGTTCAGTATGCAATTCTCAACATAGAATATTTCACCAAGTTTCATTTACAAAACAACAAGTGATTAGTAGTTGAAAGATAAAGAAGTTCAATGATCGACATCTTATGAATGCTGATTGCTTCCTCAGTAGATTCCCCAGTGGCCGAGATATCTGAGATTGCACCTATATGTACATTGTAAAACGATAGATCGTAAACTGTTCGTATAGACGCCTAATTAGATTTTGTGATTAACAGGTATAAATAACTTATTAAAGTTAACGGAAAGTGGTAACTTGTTGAAACATTTTAATATTACTGAGACAAGTAGACCGAATATCTGAGAAGGTCCCCTAAGATGTGCAGATTTAATGTGATTTCTCAAAAACATCCATCTTATTTTCAAATATAGTTTGAACTACTTCTAAGGCATTATAGAATAACTGGCAGAAAAGACTATAATATAATTCTTTCAGTGCTGTCAGGTTTTTAATGGTGTTCGAACACTGATCGATTCATGATTTCACTGATATTGATATTAACCAGACAGATACAATATTTGTTAACAATAGTCTTCCCACAGTGGCATATCTCCTATATCATATGATTCTGAGACTTTATATGATCCTCATGACCTTATGTAGCCTCTCAAATAACTAGAAGTCGTGACCGGTGAAGTTCAACCTATTCTGGTGTAGACGATAACTACCGAAGACAGTGTAGGAGGTTATGCGAGACCATGAATTGATCGAACATAGACAATTACACAGTAAGATGCCGGTTCAGAGGTTAAAAGGTTAGGCGTTTGCAAGCGGGTTCGAATCCTGCACACTGCGCACTGCTGATGAGTCCCATACCAGGACGAAACGGCCGTCCAGTGCTTCCAGGTTTCTAATAGTGGTCTAACAATGATTAATTCATGATTTCAATGAGTAACTTAATGATCTTCACAACCCCGTAATGTAACTAGATATTGTCCATCATTTGAAGTATAGACAGCTCAGTGTTTGGATAGGATTATTTATACAACAAATGTACATTTCTTAAATGGTTAACGTTTTACATTCAATAATTCTATTTCATTTTCTTAAGGTCAAACTTTAGTTCAATGGTTTTGTCGACATATCATTCAATCAGGATGTCCTTGGAGTCATGATCTGATATCAGTTGTTTGTCAATTTTGCAATTGTCTTTTACAATTGGGTGTACTTAAACGTGATCTCAAATCAAAACAACCAATCAATTCGACGTTGATCGATCATAAATTGTTTCATTCAACTGATAATAATTCCGATAGAAATTCTTCAAATACCACAACTTCTGCTACAACTACTACTAATACTACTAATACTAATACTATAGAAATATTTGAGGTAAATTTCTTTAAATAAAATATTTTAGTGGTATCCTCAACGTTAACTAACACCATGTGACCAATATAAACCAGAGTTACCTTCTAGCTCCAGTAACCTTGAGCCAGCTCTAAATCCTTATTGGTGCATAACTCGAGCGCTTCTCTCTTGTTATCCAATCGGCAAGTCCAAAAGTTGATAAGCCATCCTCCACAAAATTTGTTATAGTTCACAAGCAGATATAGTTCATGTTTACCAAACATCCAAAACCACACCACATCATAGAATGAAAAAATCACATTAATACATGAGCAAGCTGGTCAAAAGTGGCTGTGAATGAGAGGGTAGTCTGTGAATGATAAACTGACAACAGATTAGGAATAAAAATCTGCACTTGTCTAGTTACTTAGTAGTTAGAAAATGAGAATATATATAATTATAATAATCCATAATGTACTCCTTACTTCCTTACTTACACCTCTTACGCACCATAGATCATAGGTTTCTGACCAGCATCCCCAAACTAACTCTATTCTGTGCCTACCTTTCCAGTTCTATGCAAATGATATACATTTTTTACATGCCTGTCTACATTTCTCGCGGCTGTGTGTTCTCTGGTCTTTCTATTTTCGTTTCGGCCTCTAGGATTCCAAGTTAGGGCTTGTCTTGTGATGCAGCTGGATAATTTCTGCAATATGTGTTCTATCCACATCCAGAGCTTTCTCCTCAGCTGGAATCTGGCTTGTTGTCTACCACAATAGGTTGTTACTGACGGTTTCTGGTCAACAGATCCGGAGTATCTTGCGTAGGCAGCTGTTAGTAAACACTTGTAACACTTGTCTTAGTAGTTCGTCAAGTTTTCGCTCCGTACAGCAGAACGTTCATATTGAAATTTGTGACTTTGGTGTTGTTGGCTGGCGGTTGTTTTCAGTTTCAGATGTTTAAGGAATAACCATCAGTTTAATCTTCTTCTGGATTAAACAAAATATTGACAATTTAACAAATTATTTAAAAAATGTAATAATTAACGATTTTTGTGAAAAGTCTAACTGGAGTTGTTTGTTTGACCAATTAGTTATGACATGGAGAAAGTATTTTATTCATTTCAGTGATGGATATTGAAAATTAATCTTAAAATGAAGTAAACAGAATTCATAAAATGAAAAGCATTATACAAACTAACTAACTAACTTACTTACTTACCTACATACTTACTTTCTTACCTAATTACTTACTTACTTACTTACTAACCAACTAACTAACTAACTTACCTACTCACCTACTTACTTACTTACTTACTTACTTACTTACTTACTAACTTACTAACCAACTAACTAACTAACTTACCTACTTACCTACTAACTTACTCACTTACTTAAGTCTGCTAAGTATAATACGGCTTAGGCCACTGTCCAAGAACCAGTTGTTATTCCTGACGACACATTATCATGTATGAAATAATGAAAAAGGTTCACAATTCATATGATTGATTGAATTACTTACTTACGCATGTTATCCCAAATTCAGCATAGGCTGCCAACCAGTATTCTCTAATCTACTCTGTACCGGTCTTCCTTTTCCAGTCCTGTCGAATTTTTGTTCATTCTCCTCATTTCTGTCTAGATTTCTCGGCGTAATGTGTTCCTTGGACTTCCTCTTTTACGTTGGCCTTGAGGATTCCGAGTGAGGGCTTGTCATGTGACGCAGTTGGGTGATTTCCTCAATGTGTGTCCTATCCACTTCCTCCACTTCTTCCTGTTTTCTTCCTCCACTGGAATCTGTTTTGTCCTTTCCCACAGTAGGTATATATATATATATAGTTACTTGGTAATTATACAACAATAAACTATGATTTTCATTAGAGGATTGTGGAAAATGTTGAAATTCCTTCGGGACATAAATCGATCAATATTAGACCACTATTAGAATCCCAGAAGCACTGCATAGCCATTTCATCCTACAATGGGAGTCATTAGCGGAGCACATCCACAACTTTCGCTACTTGCAGAAATCAGACCCAAAATGTCCTGTATTATATTCCTGCGAGTAGCGAGATTCATGGATGCGAACTGCTGATGAGTTCAGTATGAGGACGAAAAAGCCATCCAATAGTTGTTGGCTTTTTAATAACGATCTAATACTGGTCGATTCATGATTGGAAAATAATCTATAAACTGGTTTTCGACATTACTATTTACCTTAATCCTCACCTGAACAGAACAATGTCCTTTCAATTACAGTATCCTATATAGTGTAGTTTGAATGCCATAAAAATCTCCATAGTATAATACTTCGACATAAATCGTTTATTGTTTATACCTTGTTACATTTAACATTCAGTTAAGTGTAACAAACAGCACATGGTAAATTATTGATTTTATTAGTTCGTAATTCATTACAGATATGTTATGATTATGAATTTACACTTGATAATCGTTAACAGATCCTTATAACAAACTGGTCATAAAACAATATATGAAAAGATTATTTAAATTTGTAGATAAACATCAATAAACACTTACATCATGCAATGTTGAGTGGAAATTCTGAAAGAAACTGGTTGAATTTAAGTCTGAAGTAATAAAAGCATTATAATACGTGCAGTATACTGTAAGTAGATTGTTATGGCCGTTCGATCCCCAGAACTCACTTGATAAAGGCCTTAATTTTGAGATTTTATTCATGGGTTGATCAGCTGACCTTGGATTCACATTTCTCAACCGGAAAATCCTTCGCTGTGATTGGTCAACGTGTTATTTAAGTACGCTGTTTTTGTGACTATTCCAAGGACGTTTCTATGATGTATAAATAAACGGGATTTGTGTGATTAAGATCGTTGTAATTGCTAGGTGTTTTTAGAGCACACTTTCTAAGCCATATCAAGACATTTTCTTCAGTTAGTTGGGGCAACGGATCAGAGTAGACAACCAGGACACTGGTTCATTGTCTCGTTCTTGTTTATCGATTAAGGTCAACTCGTAGTAGTTGCAAGCATATCAAGTGATGAGCTTAACATAAATGCACCATAGTTGTTCAACGTTCACTATACTTGACAAACGCTGTGGAATAAGGTCGAATATGTGAATTAACATTCATTTTTCAATAATTCTGATGTCGTGAATATGGCCTTCGTTCTGTGAGAAACTTAAATCTTTGGCTTGTTTCAAATCTTAAATCACCTCATCAAAATAATACATGTATTTCCGAACAAACAAAATCCAATGGACGGTATTTCAAATGAAATGACATTTTATACTACTTAATACTACTTTTGAATTGAAATTCTTCTCAACAAGCCTAATTATCCGAACAAAAATCCCAATAAATCTCATACAACACATGTTGAACATTGATTTCATTGAAACTACACAATGATTGAATAGTGCATGATTACTATGATCTCATTTAAATGAAGAAAATATTTTGTTATTGATTATTTTATATTGGATATTGATCGAAATACTGATTGGTAACAAGGTCATGGCTACTACTTCCGTCACTATATTATTAGCATGAAAGGGTTGTGGAGACTGTTGAGTCACCCTTTGAAATTATGAATCGATCTGAAATCTAGAAACACTGGACATGGTATTGCACAACTCACTACTGGCGGTGCGCATCTACGACTCCCGTTAGTCTCACAAATCGAAGCCAGGATCTTCCGTCTTGCTCCCAAACGCCTAACCTCTGAACCACTGAGCCGGTATCCTATGTAACTCAACAATCTCCACAACTCTTTCAAGCAAATCATCATGCGTTTAATGGTGACTAGCTCCGTGAGAACGTTTTTACGAGTTCTAATGTGAAGTCGTGACCAGTGGAGTTCGGACGTGAAGAAGTGTTTACCGAAGACAATGCATGAGGTTGCGAAATATGATGTATCGATCGAAGTAAGACATTAACACCATTGGATGCTGATTTAGTGATATAGAGTTTAAGCGTTCGCGCTCAAAATTCCATGTTCTAGGTTGGATTCCCACGCATAGTGATCGTGCATAAGCACTACTGATGAGTCCTGTACTCGGGAAGAAAACACGTCCAGTGCTTCCAGGTTTCTAGTGGTTATCTAACATTAATCAGTTCATGATTTCAATGAAATAAATATTTATTAGTTAATTAGAGGTTGTATTTAAACTCAATTTTTAACTAACCAACATTAGAAACATGAAAGCATTGTATGGTAGTCAACTTCTAGTATGAGACCCTTCAGCGCAGTGCGCATCCACTATGCCTGCTCGTGGAAATCGATCCCAAGACTTTCAGTTCGACACGCGAACGCTTAACTTCTAGATCACTGATCCGGCATCCAGTGGTGTTAATGTCTAAATTTAATCAACTCCACCCATTTTCCTCGTTAGTTACTGCATACATCCGACGGGGTCGGACCCCACTGATCATGGCTTCTCACTGGATGTACGCTGATGATGAATCCCATAGTAGGACTTGAAAGTGCTTGTGGGTTTATAATGGCAGTCTAACAATGATCGATTCATGATTTTAAATGAAAAAACATCAATCTCCCTATCTAACATAATGAATCCGTATATATTTGTGGTGTGAGCTACTTATAAGTAGTATATGACGTGAGCGTCAACGTAATGTCTGGCAGCCGAAGATGGAGGAAGATCAAGAAAGGAAGAGTTCGAAAACAATGGAATTTGTATGAAACGCATGAATAGTGACAATGGATTGATGTTTTGCAACAGGAACAGTCCAGTTCGATATGATGAACTGATATTTTACAAATGAACGATTTACGATATGGTTTTTCTATTTTACTGAGTAACTCTGTAATGTTCGTTAAATACAATTCGGTTGCCCCACCTGTGTTCTCCTTCACTACATATTTAAAATATAAAACGATCATCTGTATTAGTTGGTTTCAGGTCCCAGAGTAAACATCAATCCTGTGGTATGGCAGCTGTATTCAACCACAGATTAAGTATTATAGGGGCTGGGTTCCACTGTTAACCGTTGTCCATCTTTACTATTAGAATTCTAAAAGGATTTGTTTTGGAAATTTTCTGTCTTCTTTAAAACAAACTATTATTTAGCTTAATATGAATTATGTATGGACTGGACGATGTGATAATAATGAACAAGGGCATGCAATGGATAATACTGTTTCAATCAGCAATGACCAGTTACAAACCAATCAAAATGAACACCAACATATTGATGAATTTAAACAATTTCAAATGATTATTTATGATCATTTGATCAGTCTTCAAAAAGAATTTGAATATGAATTAAATCGAATAACAAGAGAACATGAATTACAGTTGTTTAAAGTAAGCACTTGTGTTTTTTTTTTATTTCATGATTTTTATGATGAACTTATCAAAGTTTGACAGCGTTGTATGCTGCTGGTTCAATGGTCTAGAGGTAAAGTGTTTGCGCTCCAAACTTTAGGTCTTGAGTTCAATTTTTAGGCGAGTGAGCAAATCCTAAAGATTGAATATAATTGAAAGATCGTGTCTATTAAAATTTCGTTAAAATTTGATGTATGTGTTGCCTTACTTACTTACTTACGCTTGTTACCCCCAGTGGGTCATCGGCTACCGTCCGGCATTCTCCAACGTACTCTCTCCTGGGCTTCCCTCTCCAGTTCTATCCAATTTTTGTTGATTGTTCTCATATCTTTCTCTATTTCTCCGCGTAATGTGTTCCTTGGACTTCCTCTTTTACGTTGGCCTTGAGGATTCCATATGAGGGCTTGTCTTGTGACGCATTTGGGTGCTTTCTGCAATGTGTGTTCTATCCACTTCCAGCGCTTCTTCTTGATTTCCTCCTCTTCTGGATTCTGGTTTGTTCTATCCCATAGTAGACAGTTACCGATGGTAGCTGGTCAACGGATGTGGAGTATTTTGAGTAGGTAACTGTCCCTGAACACTTGTATCTTCTGGATGATGGCTTTCGTAGTTTTCTAAGTCTCCACCTCGTGTGGTAGAACTGTATTGAGACGTGTGTGCTAGTGATAAGAAAATGTGACCACTTATCGAGCGTGAACAGACAAGTACAACCTACTGACTACTAAATATGTGATTTCAGTTGATGCTGAGAATCCTATTACTCACTTACTTACTTAGGCCTGTTACCCCTAAAAGAGCATTATAGCCCACCAAGCAGCATTTATATTTTCATCCTCACAGCAACTTGAATTGTTCTTCCGGTCTCACACACTGTGTGAACATTGCATATACCTATATGAATTGTTGCTCTGACTGTTAGAATGTTCATCTGCCTCATGACGTACGAAGGAACTTGGCTTTCATCATGAGGCATGACACCTGGTTTAACCTAAAGACTTTCCAACACCGAGGGCAAAGTTTTAATGGTTTGAGTTCTGTTTTCTGGTTATCTTATTTTTGGCGAGCTGATTTTGTGTGGGATAGAGTCGCCCAACCCTCCTCCTTTAACCAAGCTTAGGATTGGCAGTAACTTTAAAATGGCTCCAGACAGAGAATGAGAATTCAGTACTGCACCTAAACAATACTGTGTAAATATTCTGATACCACAAACCAATCTCTAATCCAAATATTTGTTGTCTGTGATACAACGGATGATATTGGATACCCTTTTATCCGCTGTGACTGAATGAGTGATCGGGTGTACACAACCACTGAATAGGATACTCGAACAGTACATTACACAGAGACTCGATCACGTTATATCAGACACTCCGTTCACAACTAAAAAAGACAACCAGAGTAAACACTATACAGTGTTTTATTCCACACAATTACAAGCGGTCACACACTTCCAGTGAATTCGAAGTACTAATCAATACGAATAAAAGCGAAATCATTAGTAGGCTAGATGCCTGTTTATCTAAACTCCTCGCGCTACTGCACATCAAAAACCTTTGCGTAAGATTGTTGAAGTAAATTTCAAAACAAAAACCATTTTTATTCAAGGTTGATAAATGCTGCGAATTGATATACTGACTACTCAGATCACTCAGTAACACCAAATAAAAATCGTCTAATTTTTTCTAACTGACTGACATAAATTCATGACTTCTAGTTAGAAAAATAACATCCAAAAGGCAACTTATTTTTGCTGTTAAAACTCTGTCGAGTGTAGGCAATTACTCACCAAAGACAATTGGTGAGGTTGTACATTACTTTGGATTGATTAAATTTAGACAGACGTAAACGATGTAGGAGGTCAGGACTGTGGTCTAGAGTTTAGGCGTTCGCGCGCGATAACGAAGGTTGTGTGTTGGAATCCCACATATATATACATAGCAGAATGAATGAGCCATTGGGTTGTTTGAGCGACTAACAATAAGGCGAGTGTATAGGCGGTAAGCAATGCTCATTCATACCAGCTAATACAAACGCGACAATAATAAAATTACAACTGTACAGATAAGTTGTTGCTATACAAATGACTCTATCTGTCTAACCAAATTAACAATGTATACAAACTCAAATGTATGTGAATAGCTATAGCATATTCAAGGTTGTTCAATTTTCAATAGTTTGTTTAAAATTAATATCAATTTATCATGTAAATTCTTTTTCAAACACTACTACCTAGGTAAAAAATCAAGGTGTTATGAAAGTATGCCAGCTGACGGATAGAATTGAGGCATTAGAAAATCAAGTTGAAAAATATCGTATTCTTGCTGGTATTGAACATTTAACCAAATCATCAACCATATTTGATGACTCTTCATCATCCTCTTCTCTAATACATAAAAATAACTCCACACAAAATGTTTATTCATCATTATTATCTCCAAATAAAAATCATTTAACTACTAAAGTGAAATTTAATTTATCCAATGAAAAGTTATTGTTAAATAATTTACCAAGAAAAATGAGAGCATTCAGTGAAACACATGATTTAAGAACAACTACTCATCATCATCTCGCACAATCCAATCCAATTGAAACTAATCACTACAATAAACCTGATTATGTCACATCGAATCGATTATTTTTGAGTTCGAATGATATGGAACAATTGCCAACAGTAAACTGTCGACGTGAACAACAGAAAGAACCGCAGCCACCACAACATTCACGATCAGATTTCAACATGTTGCATAAAAAGGATGAATTGTCTTTGTTGAAAAATTCTACTGCAAAAAATGAATCATTGAAAATGTATGAAAAAGAAAATGTTCTCAAAACAAATTATACAGATGTTGATTATCAGTCAAGGGATAATGATAATATAAGTTATCAAGGTTACAATAAGACGATGGTAGATAATGCAAAGTAAGTTAAGTAATCATAATTATAATGACAGTAATATTGACAATTGAACATTATTTTTGTTTAAACGAGTCAATGACGTGAGCAGTGATTGGTTGTGTTTGTTTGACCTTCATCTTATGAATCGATTATATTGATTTGATGAACTAATAGGTAATAAAGAGTCCCATTGCGCAAATATCAGAACAAAACAGTCCAGTGCTTCCAGCTTTCTAATAGTGGTCTAACAATCATTGATTGATGAATTCAAATGTGTAAAAACACAAAACCTCCAAAACTCTCCCCGAAAATATCGTAACAGTGCTCACTAGTGACTAGCTTCGTGAGGAAATTCTCGGAGTTCTAGTTGAGAAGACGTGACTAATGGAATTCAAGCCTGTCGGGTGTAGGCAGTAACTGCCAAAGACAAATGGGTGAGGTCGCGCAAAAATCCGTAGATTATTCAGAGTTGGACATTAACACCGTTGGATGCCGGCCGATGGTTAGGCGTTCGCGCACAATTCCGAAGGTCCCGTGCAGGAGTCGTGGATGTGCACTGCTGATGAGTCCCATACCAGGACTCAACGACCGTCCAGTGCTTCCAGGTTTCTAATGGTGGTCTAACAATGATTGATTGATGAGTTCAAATGTGTAAAAACAGTTATAAGCGAACAGTGTTGCTGTTTTCAATCAACTTATCATTAGGCTTTACACTCTAATATACACAAATACTGATATGTTACACCAATCAACGCGATTTATAAGTCAATCATCACAATGAAATAGAGATTACGTAATGAAATAGGATAGGTAAAAGGACAAGATCATAGTAGGAATATAGGTGTACTGTGAGTAGCCGTGGGAATAATAAAATACAATGTATACAATGTATAATAAATCTTAAGCTTGTTTTCACTTCTGTGAAACAAGGGTAAAACTTCAGGAATTCATTGAGTGCTTTAGATTCAACAAGGTCTCCCGCGCTGTTTATGAGTCTATTTATCCACATTTTACCTACTAATACTTCCAATGTTGAACCGTGTTGACAGAAACTTGTGTTACTTACTACTATCTGTACACTTCTGTCTCCCTACTATCAACTTGTGGTATTATCTATTATGCGTGTGGTTACGTAACCTATTGCATTCTGATCATTGATTCATAAATTTTTGTTTATCGGTTTAACATTTTCATGTATATTAGAGAGTATAAAGCCTGATGACGATCTAATTGAAAACAATATTCGCGTTTTTCTAATTTTCTCGATAAGAACAAATGTTTTTGTCAATAGTTCAACATAGGAATTAGTAGCTAAACTATTCAAACTACTGATTTATAATTCAGTAGTAAGTGGTTTTAAACTTAATAAATTTGTAAAGTCATTAAAACCATATCCAAAAAAGAAGTTGGTCTCTCCTGAAAGCACTTCACTTTTTATGAGAGTAGACAATCAGATGCCTGAAATCTTAAATATCTTGTGGCATTTTTATTCAATAATATATGCTTAGTATAATTAGGCATTCTCAGCACGGATTATTTCATCAAGTTACCCTTACAAAACATTTAGTGTTTGGTAGTTGAAAAGTAAGCAGTTCAGTGATTGACATCTTATGAATGTTGATTGTTTTCTCAGTACAGTGCCAGTCACTTAAACTTCTCGGATTTCACCTGTATGTACCATTCGAAATGATAGCTCATGAACTGTTTATATACAAGCTTGAATAAACTCTGTGATTAATAGACAAACTGATGTGTTGGAGCAAACGGAAAGAGGTAACCTGTAAAAACTATTTTGACCTTATTAAGCAGGGCACTAGATGTGGTGCCTAATATATATTCTCCTCTGAAGAGGATACAGGATTTTTCGCTTTTAAATGTAGTTTATTCAAATTGCCTACGGGATCAGGTGCATTACGTACAGTCAGATTTATGTGTTCCTTATTGGATGATAACAGTGGTTTATTATAAGTCACTTTTGGGAATAACACTAAACATCGGTTCAGTCTTCCTATTAGAAGCTAATAATTGACGTTCTGATGAACGTTTTGATAACAGTCAGCTTGATTGATCAAATTCGAATATGTGGTCACTGTTACAGGTGATTTACTTCTAAACATACTGTTTCCTCGTAAAGTTTCAATCACTAGGAGCATCCAAGAATACAGCAAGACAATTTCATCACCAGGCGATTTTTTACCCAAACTCACTGGAATCAGAAGTGGCCGGAAATCTACCACGAAAAATCTCAATCATTCACAGAGAAGGAATTACGCGCAAAAATTTTACAATGCGGTTTCGTCCAGAGCTTCATTAAAATGCAGTTGTCCAGCATATACTTATATATGTTCCAAAGAGATAGATGGATACTGGACTGTGGTTGATTTGGATGAAACATTTAAAAAGAACAAAGTAAATTTATTTCTTTACAGAATCAGTCAGTCAGTCAGATGCAACGTAGAACTTTGTACGTAAGTACATCAGTTCATGTTGCCATACCACATCAGCATAGAGATATAATTGTCAATTCAAATTCAATAGTAGAAGAGGTAGTAAAGGTATTACAAGTAATCGGAGAGGTTAGGATTAGAAGATATTATTCAAGAAGTATGATACAGTGAGAAAAGTTAAGAAAGTCAAAAGTAGAGGGATTGAAGAATCCAGAAGATTAGGATTTGAGAGAACACAAAGAATGAATGCGCCGGCGCCATTGTGAACGATTTTGAGCCATTTCATTCAAGGTCTCTAACCATCGATTATTATCATCTCGCTGACCCCAACCAGGTAGTCGACAACTACCAACATGACTCAGTCCAATTGTCAATGACTTCATGGATTTGTGCCATGTTTTGGTTTGGCCGCCCCTAACTTTCTTCCAACCTACTCCTACACTACAAAACAAAGCTCGTCGCAGCAGTCGGTGGTTAGGCATACGCAGCACATGTCCCAACCACCTCAACTGATGAAGTTTCACTACTTCATCTATTGATCTGCCATTCTTACTTAGCTCCCGTTTCCTAATAACAGCGTTGCTCACTCGGGTGTCCCACGATATACGAGCAATGCTTCGAAGACACCTATGATCGAAAACCAGTAACCTACGAATATCTTCTACTCTCACTGGCCATGATTCACAGCCATAAATCGGGACGGAGCGAACTACTGCACAGTACACTCGTCCTTTAGTCAGCAAACGGATATCTCGCCTGCGCCATAAGTGACGCAGGTTGGCAAAAGCCAATCAAGCCTTCTGTATTCGAGCTGAGATTTCGTCAGTCACCAGGCCATCGGCACTGATGAGACTCTCCAGATAAGTGACTCGACTACTTCACTCCCTATCACTAGTTCAGGTGCCGATGCAACCCAATCTTGAAGCAACATTTCGCAGAATAGTTGAACTGGACATGAATTTTATGATGATATTGATTTTCTTTGGTGCTCTCAATCGAGAAACCTCCTTAGTGGTTCGTCAGTTTCTGCATTTCTACAAACGAGTAACATATAACAGAAGCGCTGTAGGGATTGTGTCAAAAACCCACACCCTTAGTTCCACATGTTTCATCTATGAACATGTGGAGATATTACAGTACAGTAACATTACATGCTATGTATACAGAATAGTAAATTTATCTATCACTGCTAACAGTTTTGTTAGAAATGCCGACTGGCCAATCAGAATACAATTTTTAGACGCATGAAAATAAATTTTTCCCATTGTAATATCTATATATTTTTCGCCTTTCATGATTAATTTACTGAGTTCTGCCTGCAGACAGTAAATTTTACGTACAGCTGGTAGTACGTAACAAGTATTTAGTTTGTAAGTGACTTAGTGGACTCTTGAACATTTAGTATGCTCCTGCTTCCTTACGCCTGTTACTCCTGATGGAGCATAGGCTGCTGACCAGGGAATTATTTTTGTGGTTAGCGTTTCTTTAGCGGGTGGGATTTCTACGGGATAGAGTCGCTAACCACATGCTCAACTATCTCTCTTTATCTACACTTGGGACTGGCAGTAAACCTAGAAGGGCTACAGGTGGAGTTATTTAGTTTACTCGGTAATGTTAAACTATTTGCTGCTAATATACACATAAACGAAAATAGAATTTATTCAGTTAACTCAACAGTTATTCAATAAACTTTCTACAAGAAAGAATCTTTACTTACTATTTCAGTAATAGTTAGCCTTATTCTTCTTTCAAACCAAAAATAATATTACTTTTTGAAATAACAAATACAGTACTAACAAACTAACCTGACACTCAGGTAATATCATGTTCCCCCTTTTTGTACTAATAGTTATGTTTAAGTAATCATTTCAATAGTAATGTTAATATCCATCAACGGTATATGTTCTAAACCAGATAGGTCAATCGGTAACATAATTTTAAATGAATCTCCACCAGCTTTCTGTTCCTTGATACTGAATTCTTGAACTAGTCATTGTTAGGCCACCATTTAATACCTGGAGACACCAAATTTCCGTTTCGTCTTGGTATAGAACTCATCAGCAGTGCACATCCACGATATCGTGCTACTCACAGGAACCAAACCCGAGACTTTCGATGTGGTAATAGAATGCTTAACCCCTGGACCACAGAGTCTGCATTCAACGGCGTTAATGTTTAACACTGATCCATTTAAGGTTCTGCGCAACTTCACCCAATGTCTTTGGTATGTAACTGTCTTCACTTGACATAGATGAACTCCATTGATCACGCTTTCACTATTGAACTCCGAGAATTTCTTCATAGAGGTAGTCACTATTAAGCACATTGTACGATTTGTCATAATATAAAATTATGAAGATTATTGTTTATTATTGAACTCTTGAATCAATCGTTGTTTGGCCACCATTGCTACTGGAAATCTTTACACACCATAGGATTAACTGGTTATCTATTGAATAGTTAGGTCACCTCCAATTGACATGAAATTGATCATGTCTACAATACGATGAATACTGTTCAAGGATAATATTAACTCAGTCTTATAAAATTGTGTGTCTTACTTAATTTATGAGTTGAAATTATCATTTTATGCAATTGTAAAATGACTAGGTTTTACATATTTGAGTTCTGTTCATAAATCGAAGATTATTGATAGTTGACTTTATTGACTTGACCTTCATAGGAATATGATAATGATGAGATGTTGGTTATTGAATCGCGTTCATAGTGAACGCTTATCACCATATCATATGATTTTTACTGGATTCACTTTATTTAGTGAAAAAATTCAGGCTTTAACTTCAGTACACATTTTTTGAAACCATGATACGAAACCACCATTAGAAACCTGGAAGCACTGGACGGCAGTTTCGTCCACGACTCCTACACCTCGCATGATTCGAACCCAGGACCTTCGGTATGGTGCGCGAACGCCCCACCGTTAGACCACTGAGCCGGCATCTAACGGTGTTAATGTCTAACTTGATCAAATTCATGGGTTTGCGCAACCTCATACACAGTCTTCGGTAGACACTGCCTACACCCGAACAGGTTGAACTTCACTGGTCACGTCTTCCCACTAGAACTCGGAGAAGATTCCTCACGAAGCTAGTCACTAATGAGCACAGGTAATTTGCATTACAGGGTTGTGAAGATTGTTAAGTTACACATTTTTCGAAACCATGAATCGATCAATGTTAGACCACCACTTCTGTAAACAAACAGTTAAATTTTCACATTCAGTAAATTTACTTCCTTATTTATGACCACCTACAATAAAAATAATAATAATCTTATTATTATTATTATTATTAATAATATTGTTACACAGTTAAATTATCAATCAATCATTGTTAGGTCACTTTTAGAAACCTGGGAAAACTGCTATGGGGCTCATGATCACTACACATCTACGAATCTTGTCCCTTTCAGGGTTCGAACCCAAAATCCTAACCTCTGACTTCGTGAGAAAATTCTCAGAGCTCTAGTGAGGAAACAGGACCAGTGGAGTTCAACCCTGTAAGCTATAAGCAGTAACAACGAAGATAAATGCGTGAGCTGGCGCTAAATTTCTAGATTGATCAGAGTTAGACGTTAACACTGTTGGATGCCGGCACAATGGTCCATATGTTAGGCGTTCACGCGCAAGACCGAAGGTCCTGTGTTTGAATTCTGTGGGTTTCAGGAGTCGTGGATGTGCATTGCTGATGAGTCCCAAACTAGGACTTGACGGCCGTCTTTCTGCGCTTCCTGGTTTCAAATGGTGATCTAACAATGATTCATGATCTGAATGTGTAAAAACGCTGATCTCTAATTTTAAAAAATATTATTATTATTGTTACTATTATTTTTTTGACAGTATTAAAGATGACAGTGTTTGTTTACACTGAAGTACTAACGACAATGAGCTAGCTGTACGCCATAATCTTTTAAGTCTTAGACTTACTTAAAGAAATTCGTCTCATCTACAGCATAAAATCGATGAAGTTGACCTGTCTAATAATGTGTATAAAGTTCACTGTAATAAAATCTCATATTTAAACCCGATACAGTTTGGTAAAATCTTGACTAATCTCAACTTCTTGTCACACATTCTCATCTTCAAAACACTTTGATCACTTCATGCATTCGAACTGGATATTCTTCTCTACGATATTCAGATTTCGGGTGACACTCTTCCGCATACTACTTATAAGCCACGTTACAAGTAGTGTTCACCATACTCTTTATTATTTAACTTAACTCTCGCGTGAACATTTAACCGGTTGACAAGTGAGACAGTCTTAATTCCTATGTTCTATTCTCGCCTGCAAGGTTGTGGATGCACGCAGTTGATGAGTTCCTAACTAGGATGAAATGGTGGTCCAACTCTTGCAAGTTTTCTAATGGTGATCCAATATTGATCAGTCTATGATTTCAACTAGTTATTTACCACCTCCTGGAACCAGTCTCTAGTTTATGGGAAATGCATTCATCATATAAAAATGTTGACTTATGTAAAAGATATCAACTAATGTGATAATTTCTTATTTTATACCTCAATATTTCCATACCATTGCTGCAACTTCTATTCAAAGTTTTTTCCTATCTAACTTATTTTATATAGTAAAATGAATGAGTTTTCAAAATTCAATGTTCAACATGACAATCCAATCAATACAACATTATCATTGAACGATGAAAATAACATGAATCAAATAGATCAAAAAGTAGATTTAAAAAATCTAACATCTAGATTCTTATCAGTACCACCATATTCAAAATTCAATTCGGATCCAACGAATTCAATGTTCAATAATAATCAATCCGTCGTTGGAAGTCAAACAAAATATGATATAAACAATAGATATAATACTGTGAAAACATCAATGAAAGGAGATGACAGTTCGATGTCGTCGATGGCGATGGCGATGGCGACGACGACCACAACAGGAACAACACCTGGATCAATGATAATTAAAGGGATGAAAGATATTAAACGAATTAATAAGAACAAAGGATTAACATAATTCAAGGTTAGTTATTTGAAGAAAAAACTATTGTATATCAACTGACTCCGAGCATAGAGTCTATAGTTGTTTATTGTTAATATTAAATCCAGTCAGTCAGTCAGATGCAACGTAGAACTTCGTACGTAAGTACATCAGTTCATGTTGCCATACCACATCAACACAGAGATATAATTGTCAATTCAAATTCAATAGTAGAAGAGGTAGTAAAGGTATTACAAGTAATCGGAGAGGTTAGGATTAGAAGATATTATTCAAGAAGTATGATTCAATGAGAAAAATTTAGAAAGTCAAAACTAGAGTTGTTGAAGAACCCAGAAGATTAGGATTTGAGAGAACACAGAGAATAAATGCGCCGGCGCCATTGTGAACGATTTTGAGCCATTTCATTCAAGGTCTCTAACCATCGATTATTATCATCTCGCTGACCCCAACCAGGTAGTCAACAACTACCGACATGACTCACTTCACTTGTCAATGACTTCATGGATTTGTGCCATGTTTTGGTTTGGTCGCCCCAAAGCGTGTGTCGGAGGTGGGATTAATGTTAAATACTAGTCATATTATCAATACATGAACGAATGATAATAAAAATGTGTTCATTAGTGACTAGCTTCGTTAGGCGATTCTTTGAGTTCTAGTGAGATGTTGTGACCAGTGGATTTTAAACCTATAGGGTATAGGCAGTTAGCTATCGAAGACATTGGGCGAGGTTGTGTAAAATCTTGAGGTTGATCAACGTTAAACCTTAACACCATTGTACGTTAACTCAGTGGTCTACATGGTTAAGCGTTCACGTGAGACCGGAGGTCCTGGATTCTGCTCACTCGAGCAGGATTCGTAGATGCATACTATTGATGAGTCGCATACTAGGACTTGATAGCCATCCAGTTCTTCCAGGTTTGTAATGGTGGTCTAACAATGATTCATTCGTGATTTAGATTAAACTCAAAAATTTCCATAACTCCGATGAACATTGTGAAAATTAAGAACCACTAACACCCACCCTTTAATCTGGGATTCAGTGTATACACTTATAAAGATCCCTGAACTCTGGAACCTATGGTAGTTCACATATTCTAATTTGTAACTTGAACTCGTTTTAAAATCGTTTAGACTTTTCAAAGACCAATAAACATCCAGCCCAGTGGTCCGATGGTTAGGCGTTCGCGTACAACACCGAAGGTCCCGGATCCTGCGAGGTGAGGGAGTCGTGGATGCGCACTGCTGTTGAGTCCCATACCGGGACGAAAAACAGCCGTCCAGTGCTTCTAGGTTTCCGATAGTGATCTAACAATCATTGATTGATGATTTCAAATGTGTAAAAGCACAAATCTCCCAAACTCTAACTGGAAAAAAATCCGTCAAAAAGTTGAAGTCTATTTTGCTACGACAATTTTTATCATACCGATCTGTGCAGCCTATTATTGGGTCCATAATTCTAGTCTAATGAGGTAATTCTTTGACTTTATCGTGTGACAGCAGAACAACTGTATGATATCAAAAATCTTTGTTCTTCCCGTTTCCCTAGAAATAAGGTTATTTGATTGGTTTTCTTTGGTAAACTATTCAACCAATAAGCTCGCTCTGATTAACATTAAGCGCTCGAGGTGGATAGGACACATATTGCGGAAATCATCCAAAATGCATCACCAGGCAAGGCTTAATTTGGAAGTCTTTAAGGCTAAAGAAACATTAGTAGACTGTCTCGTATTCTGAAATGTCAGATAGCTTACATTCTGATAAACCCTTAGTTGTCTTTAGGAGTTCCGCTGTCATCGATAACTCTACACCAACGAACATACTGGTACTGATAATGCCGGACTGAATTCACTAATTTGCTAAGAGTCATTTGATTAGCCGGTTGAATGACACTTTTGATAAATGGGAACATGGCACAGATGAATGGGTAGGTGTAGGAATTTTTAAAATATATTTCACATCCTTTAGAAATAGTTCCTCTTGAGTACATACTACTCTAAACTTAATAAGTAGAAGTAAATAAGAAACGGTTGACAAGGTTTCCGTTTAATGCATGTTGCGTCGTAAGTAATAAACGTAATTTATTTGCAATAAAGTATTACGGAAATCGTTGCTTTACATCAAAATCATGGATGATTCATTGTTAGACAACCATTAGAAACCAGGAAGCATTGGACAACCGTCTCGTCCTCGCGTTGGAACCATCAGCAGCACCCATCTACGACCCCTGCTACTTGCTAGAACACAGAATCTTTAGTGTAGTGCTAACGCTTAATCTCTGGACCGCTGAGCCGGGACCAAACGGCATTTATATCTATTTTTGATCAGTCTAAGGTTTAGTGCAACCTCACCCAATGTCTTCGATAGGTAACTGTCAAGACTCGACAGAGTTGAACTCCACTGGTCATGTCTTCTCACTTGAACTTCTAGAATTTCCTCAAGAATCTAATCACTATTTTGAGCACAAGGTTGTGCAAAAATCCTTATATTAATCACAGTTAGACATTAAAACCATCGGATGCCTGCTCAGTGACCCAGAGGTTAAGACCGAAGTCCCTGTGTTTGAATCCTGCGGGTAGCAGGAGCTGTGGGTGCCCCCTGCTGATGAGTCCCATACCAGGACGAAACAGCCTTCCAATACCTCTAGGTTTTGAATGATCGTCAAACAATGATACTCAAACATTATGATTTTGTGATGAAATTTTTTGTATTTAAACAAACTAATATCCTATGAAGTACTGACTATTTATTTGTTTCATGATGTACGGTTTTTTATTGGATATTCTAGAAAAAAATTGGATGTACAGAACGCTAATCGATCACAACCACTGTATAATATAACTCCCTTGAAGTTGATTGGTTTTGATAGTCGTCGAGAGGACATTTCTCAATCGGACAATGAAAACTACTTATCTGATTGGTCGATCAGAGAATGCAGACAATGGAACATGGATTTAAATTTTTACACTTAGAAATTAAAAATTTCCGTTGACAGTCTGTCACATTACTCCTCTCTCTCTATGGGATCATGTTAATTATATTCATGTGATCTTTGTATATGTGTGTGTTTTGCCTGTGTGTGTGTTTGTGTCTATCAACTATGATTTTGATCGATTATATTTAGCTTTTGTAAATATAAAGTTTTACTTTACAGACTTGAATATTTCTGTCTCGCGCTCTCTCTGTCTCATTTACATACATTCATCCATTTATGAAGTGGATTGTGTGAAATATACCCGGGAGCATTTGTATTTTAACTTTTTTTATACTTTTATTCTAAACAGCAGTAAGTTGACAGAATAAACATGAAGTTTAGTGATATGCCTGTCAATTGATAGGCTTGATTGCTATTATGAGTTCACCTTACTCGGTAAATGAGAAGTAAGACAAATGGTGAGGTGATACGATAGGCTATTCGAATCCGTTTGTCCCCAGTCCGACTTAACTATATCAAGAAGTCTTGATAAAGCGTAGAATGTGTATTCTACAAGCACCCAGAAAATACAAGGTTCACAAGCACACAAATCGAGCTTATTTATACATGATAGAAACGCCCTTGAGAGAGCCATAAAATAGCCTACTAAAATAATTCATCAACCAATGACAGTCAAAGATTATCCAAGGAGGAGGTGTGCTCTAGGTCAACTGGCGCGAAAATATGGAAATTCAAAATTTCAGAATAGTAATACAAAATAAGGATCTAACGTCCCCAACGTTTAGTAGAATTGTTACGCATGCACGTAGACATGTCATTGGATATGCTTGAACTATTACGAGTTTACCTTAGTCGGAAAACGAGAGCGAGGATCGAGGATCCGGCGACACGACATGCTACTCTAATCCGAGTGTCTCAACCCCCATTGAGTGAAAGAAGAAGACTTGATATGAAGTAGAACCTGTATTCTACAAACATCCAGAAATTATGAGGTCCGAGTCCAGAAGAGAATCAGGATCCCGGACTAGAGATCCTGGTCCGGGTCCGGGTCATTAAAACATTACAGATAATGCTTATTGATACATTCAGGTTGAACAGGAAACAGCATCGAAGTCTGTGACATTGGCAGTTAAGACGACCAATAGGAAACAACATTTGAAGTGACACTGATAGTCAGGACAATCAATAAGAAACAGCATTGGAGTACGTGACATTGATATCTAGGACGATCATAAAATTGACCAGTAGAAATTAACCAATAGGAATTGACCAACTATTCTCTTAGGATATTGGATGAATATCCTGACAAGAATCTTTGGTTCATTAACTTCATGATGGTGCGATCATACAACATCCTCTAGACGAGCCTACACAACAGACAGAATCAGCTTAAACTTAATTATTATGTAGAAAACTAGTTGACAATATCTTTACCGCTTAACTGTTATCACTTTTAAATTTGAATAAGTATTCTAATCAAGGAGGAAAGATTAGAAATTGTGACAATAGTTATCACATTTATGTTAAATGGGCTAAAACAGTAGGTGCACAGAATCAAAGGTTCTTATTTCAGTTTCTGGATATCGAGTTGTGGATGCTCACTGCTGAGGTGATTGTTCATTGCGAATTGAGCATAAGAGAAAAGGCTGGAATTACGAGATGAACGCTTTACTCCAAGGTTAGTTTACATACAGAAAAATGAGGCTATTGTTTCAAGTTACTCATGACTTTATGCTTCTGAAAGGCACGAGAACCATACTAAATATCTTTTTACAATTTTTAAAACTTCTTTATTTCGTTATTTGATTGATTTCATTGTATTTTTCTTCTAGAACGCTGAGAACTCATTTCGTCCTTGTATGGGACTCATCAGCAGTGCATATCCACGATTGTCATTACCGAAGTATTGTGCAACCTCATCCAATGTCTTCGACAGTTAGTGCCTACAGCCCATACGTTTGAGTTCTACTGGTCAAGTCTTCCTACCAGAACTCTGAGAACTTATTCACGAAGTTAGTCACTATTGAGCACATGTTTAGAATGATCAAAGTTAGACATTAACACTATTGCATGCCAGCTCGGTTATCTAGAGGTTAAGTGTTTGAGAGCGAGAACGAAGGTCCTGGATTTGACTCAAACGAGCGAAGGTAATGTATGAACAATACTGATGAGTCCCATACTAGGACGAAACAGCCGTCTTGTTCCTCTAGAATTCTAATTTATTTTCACATTCTTTTCTATTTATGGAGACATTGTCGTCTCATTTATGTATGATTGTCACTTTTTTTTCGCTAAAGTGTGACATGATGTTGTAATCTAGTCGGTCTTCGCTTCAACTACTATCTCTTCGAAATATATTATCTAACCGAGGCTAGTTGTATACTTCTTAACTGAATTTAACTGCCAACTCAAGGTTAGTAGTGTGTAATGGATGTAGAACTAGTTGAATCACAGAGGCAGTGAGGATTCATTTACATTACTTTCTGTATATCATAACTTGTAAACTGATTACGTGTGAAGAGCGATCATTTCTACTACATTGTATTCAATGAAATCTAGGCTAAATGTTCAATTACACCCTCTTATCGTTCGTTAAGAGTATCAAAATTATTTCTTTTCATAAAACAACTGATCAGTATTTTTTAAAAACCAAAGACAAAATCTGTTTTTTTTTTTTAATGCACACTTTTTATTTCAAATAGGAAGACAGAAGCATTGTAATATAATATATGTATATATCACCCAAGAGTTTATTGATTGAATTTCAATGTTATATTGAATATTGAACTGGATAGATTTTTTGTTATAAAAAAGAAACTGGGTGCCTAATATTCTTCACCTTCTTCATTTTCCCCTTCAGCATCTACACTATCCACACCGACTTCTTCATAATCTTTTTCTAATGCAGCTAAATCTTCACGTGCTTCGGAGAATTCACCTTCTTCCATTCCTTCACCAACATACCAATGAACAAATGCACGTTTAGCATACATCAGATCAAATTTATGATCTAAACGTGCCCATGCTTCAGCAATAGCTGTTGTATTACTTAACATACAAACAGCACGTTGTACTTTAGCTAGATCACCACCGGGAACCACTGTTGGTGGTTGATAATTAATGCCTACTTTGAAACCAGTTGGACACCAATCAACAAATTGAATGGTACGTTTTGTTTTAATTGTCGCAATAGCAGCATTCACATCTTTCGGCACAACATCACCACGATATAACATACAACAGGCCATATATTTTCCATGACGTGGATCACATTTCACCATTTGATTGGCTGGTTCAAAACAAGCATTTGTAATTTCAGCGACACTCAATTGTTCATGATATGCTTTCTCAGCTGATATTACTGGTGCATAAGTAGCTAAAGGAAAATGAATACGTGGATATGGTACTAGATTAGTTTGAAATTCTGTCAGGTCAACATTCAATGCACCATCGAATCGAAGTGATGCTGTGATTGAACTGACTATTTGTCCAATTAAACGATTTAAATTCGTGTAAGTTGGTCGTTCAATGTCCAAATTACGTCTGAAATATGATAAGAAAAGGAATGGGATAGTTTTTGAGTAAAATAATTAGAGTTATGGAGATTGTTCATGACTAAAATTATGAGAAACCTGGAAGCATTGGATGGTCGTTTCGTCCTGATATGGGACTCATCAGCTGTGCGCATACACAAAACCGTTGGATTTCGGCCTAGTTGTCCAGAGGTTAGGTGCTCACGCGCAAGATCGACAGTCCTGGGTTCAAATCCTACAAGTGGTAGGAGTCGTGGATGTGTACTGCCACTGGTGAGTTCAGAACCAGGACGAAACGGCCTCCCAGTGGTGATCTAAAAATGACTGATTCATGATTTGAGCAATTAAATAGTTATTTTAAAAAATCTCCCAGCAAAACCTACCTGCATATATCATAAATAGCTTCATTATCAACCATAAAAGCACAATCTGAATGTTCTAATGTAGTGTGAGTAGTTAAAATGGAATTGTATGGTTCAACCACAGCAGTGGAAATTTGTGGTGCAGGATAAATGGCAAATTCTAGTTTGGATTTCTTTCCATAATCCACACTTAAACGTTCCATCAGTAGAGAGGTAAAACCAGAACCAGTACCACCACCGAATGAATGAAACAATAAGAAACCTTGTAGACCAGTACATTGATCAGCTAATTTACGAATTCGATCTAACACAAGATCTACTATTTCTTTGCCTATTGTATAATGACCACGAGCATAATTATTAGCGGCATCTTCTTTTCCTGTTATCAATTGTTCTGGATGAAATAGTTGTCGGTAAGTTCCTGTACGAACTTCATCTAGAAAAATAATAGTATGAAAATAATTTCGCATTGTAGTATTATGGAGGCGATTGCTTTTAATACATTGAAACCTTGAGTGAAAAATTGTTAGACCACGTTTATAAACCCACAAGCACTGGATGGACATTTCGTCCTGGTATGGGACTCGTCAGCAGTGCGCATCCACGACTCCTGCTACTCGCAGGATTTAAACGCGAGGAGTTAGTGCCAGTCCCAAGCCTTGATGGGGTTAAGGTATGGGGTTAGAAATCTAACTCGCCTAAGCAAAACGCTAACCAGAAAAATAATTCGCTGGTCGGTGGCCTTTAGTCGATTAAAGGTAACAGGAGTATGTAAGTAAGTAAGTAAAGTAACCTGCATTTGTGAATTTTATTTCACCCATTTTCCCTTCTAGTACTATTCACTCTCGTTAAGAATAATCCATGCAGTGATTATCATTTTGATAACAATAAACTGTGGTAATAATCACTCTGTCATTAGTTTAGATTCCAAATTGACCGTCACATCATAGTCAGGGATAATTCGTTTTCTATTTATGTAGTTCAGTGAAATCAGTGTGCACACACTCCTAAACACTATTAAATACATATTCCGACAACACAAACCAGTCATTGAATTGGATAATCGAGCAGTACACCACACAGAGACTAGATCACCTCTAATTAGATATTCGATATACGACCGAAATCGAGTACTAGGGCAAACAATATACATTATTTTATCCCACACGATCACAATCAGTCAACTACTCTCAATGAGTCTTGAGTAGAAATCAATAGGAGGACATGTTTACTAGACGGTTGGTTGTGCTTGTCTATCCACACTCAACAAGCAAACCTACCTATCAGTCTATGATATCGTATATCATCTTTTCCAAACTAATCGATACAATGACTTACCCACAACAGTTGGTTCTAAATCGACAAAAACTGCACGTGGAACATGTTTTCCAGCGCCAGTCTCACTAAAAAATGTATTGAACGAATCATCACCGCCACCGATCGTTTTATCCGAAGGCATTTGACCATCCGGTTGTATACCATGCTCAAGACAATATAATTCCCAACATGCATTACCAATTTGTACACCAGCTTGACCGACATGAATTGATATACATTCACGCTAAGCAATGAATGTAAAATTATTTTTAAATAATAACAAACAAATAAGTAGTATATTGAACATTGGTCAAATCAGATATATTGGTGGTAAAAGTTAAAAAAAAAAAACTGACCGAAAGCAAAACTTACCATTTTTTAGTGTTGAAGTGAATCACAGATAAAAAGAGAGATAGAAATAAGTTTCAATGAATAACAGCAATTCATTTCGTAACTGTTTGTTTATATACTCTGATTAAATGAGCTTTCGCTGTCATGACAATGATGACAGTTACCATAACATTCGTTTGTGAGTGCATGAATTTGATTGGTTGGATTCGGATTTTATTTTTTGAGCGAGCGAGCGAGCGAGAGAGAGAGATAGAAAGAAGTGTACTGCAAAAGTGTTTTGTTTGTCAACCAACGTATAGAAAAATCTGTAGTGATGAGAATATGAAACTAAGAATAAACTTAACGACAGTGTCCGGTAGACTTAACTGAGCCATCTATAGTGTTTTGGAGGGGGTTAATTCAACTGAATCATGATGAAAAATTGTGCTTCTGAGAAAGAGTGATATTTTAGCATTTCAAAACTAAAATAGTTGATGTTTTATTTATCTGTCATGAAAATTTAAGTGATATTCCACTCTTTTCGGTGAATTCTTTGAAGACCCAATATTGTTTCGTGTAGTATAAAGAAAACCACCGGAAATAACCTTGAATTCAGCCTCACCAAACGCTGTCGCCACAGCTGAAAAAGTGTTCAGATAAAAGGCTTCATTTGAAGTTATGTCCCCATAGAATTACAATGAGGCTAACAAAACCAACATGCTGACTTATTTTTTATCAGAAGGGAAAGGTAAGTTAGTCAGCCAATTAGGTATGGCCAAGTGAGAAGGTCACTGAAAAACGTCCTAAATAATGAATATCTATCATTGGTCAAGAAATGGCTTTCTTTTCTAAGGAGATAGTATATATAAATATACAAAGACCCTTGACTTCTAGTTCAGATTATCACTTTGGAGGAAATACCATGTATCATGTTCAAATTTGAGCAGTATCGCATGTCATAACACATACTGTTTAAGAATAATCATTCATCTCCCCACTAACCAGGAAAAATGATTCAACTACAGTATCTTTACTCATTTCTTTCTCAAGTGGCAGTTAATTTTCTCTTTGTCACAGCAAATTATTGTAGATGGTCACTGGCAAGTATATCTGAAGTATTTTGTATAGAAAACTGTTTATGAATAGCTATGCATTCTCGATAAGGATTGTGGTAGCCCACCGAATTTAGCTCCGTGCAAAAGAATCATCTTAATGTTTGTGTTTAAAGTTTTAACTGGTTTTGGAATCAAAATATTCCCCTGATTGTAGGGTATACAGGTTTCGTTATGCAGATTCGTACTTTTAGATTTACACAAGATCTTCCCTGTTTATCGATGTTAGTATCCGGGTACGTAAAGACTTATGTACAGGATAGAGCTCCTCCAATAGTTGTGGTTTGGTTGATACTGATAGTGTTCCATGGTGTCGAAGGAGATTTCATAAGATTATCCTATCCCCACTGTTGAATGCATTCAACAGGTTCTTAAGAAATTCATCTTGTCGATCTCAAAATTGAGCAGCTGCTGGATCGTTCGGCTCAGTAACATTGTATTGAACACTTCGTTTGGTGCTGACAGTAGTGTGATACTTCACACCTACTGAAATTGCCTATTTTATATCTTGATGAAGTGCCACACTTTCAAGTTTGTTAATGAACGTCCTTCCTATCACATCTTTCTGAAGAGAACGTAGAGCATATTTTCAGTTACTTGTATTTATGACTTCACTGCCTCGATTAGTATATTGCCTGGCTATGTTTCTCTGTCACTCTTAATTTGTCTAACGGCTGTCCCGAATAATCGTGTTTTCTGTGAGGCAATATCTGTGGGGACGTCTGTGTGTGATGTTGGGTTAAATGGAGCTGGTCTACACTACACAATAACTCCCTATGGTCTATCGTATTTTCCTGGAAGCCTATTATGAGATTTATCATTAGTACGCATCCAGGACGTCGCACAGGGTTATCGAACCCAGGACCTTCAGTCTTGCGCACGAACCAAACGGTCTTAGGTCCTGTGTTCGGTTCCTCCTTGCGGGGTCTTGGATGTGCTCTCTTGATAAGTCCCATATCAAGACGAAACGGCTGTCCAATACTTCCAGGTTTCTAATGCTGGTCTATTATTGATCGATCCACGATTTCGATGAAATTCATCATTTGTTGTAAACTTTGTTACAACGTTCACAATTTTATTTTTATTTCAAAACTGAAATCTCTGTAAGCCTATATTCTATCGATCTCATATAAAAAATTTAGATTTAAATTCGATAGAACCAGTCTAATCGTCACATGAATGGAGGATGGATTCTTACCGAATATAAATACGTCAGCTACAGAAATATTTCACGTGTGACTAACACTGTTTGTTTAGATCTTTCTTCTTAATAAATAAAGCTTTTAATAAACACCATGCGATACATAATTTTCAACTATATTCCGTTCAGTGTTCATTGTTTTTTGAAAAAATTGGTTTCATTGGCCTATTTTTTTTTTAAAAAGTATAGTACATTTTTTTTAATGACACGCATTCATTATATCTTGGGGCAGAGTTTTGGAGGTTTGTGTTTTTACACATTTGAAATCATCAATGAATCATTGTTAGACCACCATTAGAAACCTGGAAGCACTGGACGACGGCCGTTTCGTCCTGGCATGGGATTCATCAGCAGTGCGCCCCGACGACTCCTGCACCTAGCAGGATTCGAACCCGGGACCTTCGGTATTGTACGCGAGCGCCTAACCATCGGACCACTGGGCCGGCATCCAACGGTGTTAATGTCTAACTGTGATTAATCTAGAGATTTTGCGCGACCTCACTCATTTGTCTTTGGTAGTTACTGCCTATACCCGACAGGGCTGAACTCCATTGGTCACGTCTTCTCAACTAGAACTCCGAGAATTTCCTCACTAGTGAGCATTAAATCCCATTGGGATAGTTTACAGTCTTTAAACCATCCTAAACCATCCTAGATTCTCTCAATCAAAAGTTTACATAATAACTGATTGTTGTTTATGATATAGTGTATTTTGTGTGCCTGCTACTAGGTTATTGAGTCATCTCTCCACTTATTCTTATCTTTCCCGAATTCTCTCTCACTCACACTACTGTGTATTGTTCCTTTCGTACAGAAGGTACTTACTGGTTAGACGCGGATTGCTATACCCGCATAATATATATATATATATATATATTACTACTTACTTACTTACTTTCGCCTGTTACCCCCCAATGGAGCATAGGCCGCCCACCAGTTTTCTCCAACCAACTCTGTCCTGGGCTTCCCTCTCCAGTTCTGTCCAATGTTTGTTCATTCCTCTCATATCTTTCTCTATTTCTCGGCGTAGTGTGTTCCTTGGCCTTCCTCTTTTCCTTTTGCCTTGAGGGTTCCATGTGAGGGCTTGTCTAGTGACGCAGTTGGGTGCTTTTCGTAGTGTATGTCCTATCCATTTCCACCGCTTCTTCCTGATTTCCTCCTCCATTGGAATCTGACTTGTTCTCTCCCACAGTTCGTTGTTGCTGATGGTGTCTGGCCAACGTATACGAAGTATTTTGCGTAGACAACTGTTAATAAACACTTGTATCTTCTGGATGATGGCTTTGGTAGTTCTCCATGTTTCCGCTCCATACAGTAGAACTGTCTTGACATTTGTATTGAAAATCCTTATTTTGGTTTTGGTTGAAAGTTGTTTGGAGTTCCAGATATTTTTCAACTGTAGAAATGCAGCCCTCGCTTTGCCAATCCGCGCCCTCACATCTGCATCGGATCCACCTTTCTCGTCGATGATGCTGCCAAGATATGTGAAGGTGTTAACGTCCTCCAAGGTATCTCCATCAAGCGTGATTCGGTTGGTGCATGTTGTGTTGCATCGGAGAATTTTGCTTTTTCCTTTATGTATGTTGAGACCTACTGCTGCAGAGGCTGCTGCTACACTGGTCGTCTTCTCTTGCATTTGTTGTTGAGTGTGCGATAGAAGAGCCAGGTCATCTGCGAAGTCCAGATCGTCCAGCTGCGTCCTAACTGTCCAGTTGATACCGTGCTTCCCTCCAGATGTTGACGTCTTCATAATCCAGTCGATGACCAGGAGAAAGAGAAAGGGTGAGAGTAAGCAACCTTGCCTGACACCGGTCTTCACCTCGAAAGAGTCGGTTAGCTGTCCTCCGTGCACGATTTTGCAGTTGAATCCATCATAAGAATTCCGTATGATGTTGACTATTTTCTCAGGCACACCGTAGTGTCGAAGAAGCCTCCACAGTGTTTTCCTATCCACGCTATCAAATGCTTTCTCGTAGTCGATGAAGTTGATGTAGAGTGGTGAGTTCCATTCAACTGATTGTTCCACAATGATCCGTAATGTAGCAATTTGGTCAGTACACGATCGATCCTTACGAAATCCGGCCTGTTGATCTCGAAGTTGGGCGTCTACGAAGTCCTTCATTCTGTTTAACAATACTCTGTTGAAGACTTTGCCTGGTATTGAAAGAAGAGTGATGCCTCTGTAGTTTTCACACTTGCTGAGATCGCCTTTCTTTGGTATTTTGATGAGGTATCCTTCTTTCCAATCTGATGGTACTTGTTCCTCATCCCAAATCTTCTTGAAGAGAATGTGAAATATTTTCGCAGTTGCTCCTACATCTGCTTTCATTGCCTCTGCTGGAATGTTGTCTGGTCCTGTATATATATATATATATATATATATTACTGATATTTTTGTTGACTACAAAAAAAGTAGACTAAATCAAATTTAATTGTTTTCGGGTTAATTTGACAATTTAAACAACATCAGCACTAAGTAAACTAAACAATTCAATAAACAACGTTACTATGGTAATGTGTAATGGCTACGAATTATTTTTTGTTTCTTGTGAAATTCAATTGATTTACTCAAACTTAATTAGTGAACTTAATTCGTTGGTAAAAAAAAATTATTATAAAAAATAATTTCAGAAATGATATGATGACCAGTTTATAAAGAAATTATAAAGTTCAAAGGTTAATTCAATTTGAACTAAGAAATTAGTTTGATAAATAACTCACTATGGTTTATTGAATCAAACTGTTGATTACCCTTATTTATTAATCATTCGAAAAAGTAGATAGTTAGCAGTAATTAGAAAAGTTGATATCCACAAGCCCTGCCTCAATTGGGAAGAGAAGAACACTAGAGAATACTTAGTATTGAAGAAAGACATGAAACAAATGAATAGCGATTGGATAGAAATGGGATGGAAGGCATAGGACAGAGTAGATTGGAGAGTACTGGTCGTCGGCCTATGCTCCGTTGAGGGTAACAGGTATAAGTAAGAAGGTAATCACTTGATATCAACTAGTATACACTTGAAAATAAGTTTCTAGTGAATAGATTTTTCGTTGTAGTATGAACTATAACTTCTCAATACTGAGCACAAATGACGTTCCTGTTGAAAAAGTATCATGATTAATAACACTTACAAATTACACATTTGAAAACATGAATCGATCAGTGTTAGACCACCATTAGAAACCTAGAAGCACTGAGGTTACTGAACACCGTTAGATACCGGCTCAGTGGTCCAGAGGTTAGACGTTCACGCACGAGACCGAAGGTCTTGAGTTCTAATTCTGCGTGAATGCGCATTACTGACGAGTAGCATAACAGGACGAAACCGCCGTCTAGTGTTTTCAGGTTTCTAATGTTGGTCTAACATTGATCGATTTATTGTTTCAAATGTGCAACTTTTAACAGTTTTCCAAACCCCGTAATGTACTTACAAATTATTATAATCTCCTCCGGAAACCCTTTCATCTATATGATAATTGTGTATTTATCATAACTATCTTATAGTTGAACTCCGCATAAATAACGTCTGGGGCTACTGCCAGTCCTAAGCCCGGACAAAGGGGGAGGGTTGGGAGTGGAGTTAGTGACCCAATCCAATAGAAAACTAACTCATTACAAAACCCCAACTAGAATGAACAAAAATTGGAGAGAACTGGAAAGGAAGGCTCATGACAGAGTAGGTTACTTCTTTTTAAAATCACCTTAAAATCATTTCGTGCAGATTGTTGAGTTTCATTAAAATCGTGAATCGAACAATATTAAACAACTATTGGAAACCTGCAAGCACGGAATGGTCGTTTCGTCCCAGTATGGGACTGCGATTATGCACATTGCAGGTACATCAGTCGATAAAGTATGGTATTCTAATCGAATGGCAGGACATTTTTAATTAATACCCTTATTCTAACATTAGTAATAATCACTTGGAAAGGTATCCTGGAGATATAAACAAAATTTTCGAGTTATTAATACTTCTCTCTAATATTTATACAGACCGATCAAAGTTGGATATTAACACAGTCGGATGCCGGCTTAATGGCGTAGAGATTAAACTTCCTGGGTTCGATTTCCTTGAGCAGAGGTTAAGCATGCGCAATGCTGCAGAGTGCCATACTATGAATTGACGTCTATTCATTGTTTGTGGTTTTTGTAATGTTGGTCTGACAATGACTTGTTCTTGATTTGTCACTAAGTTAAATTTCGTGTAATACTGATAGCCGTATAAGGTTTTTAGTGTTCACTTGAATACCTTACTGATATGGGATTGGAATCGCGCATCGAATAAATTTATCGTAATTTTTAGTTAATTCAGATTGATTTTTATCACGTTACAATATTCAATTTTTCCAAACATTGGAATCATGAATCAGTAATAGTTAGATCAGCATTATAAACCTGGAAGCACTGGACGGCCATTTCGACCGGGTATAGAACACATCAGCAATTCGCATCCATGAATACTGCCACTTGCCCAACTCGAAAACAGGACCTCTATCTTGTGCGAACGTTCAACCTCTAAACCACTGGGCCGGTATCCAACTGTGTTGATGTATAACTCCGATCAATCTAGGGATTTTAATTGATATCACCCATGTTCTTTGGTAGCTACGGCCAATATTCGATAGGGTTGAACTCCTTCGGTCATGTCTTCTCACTAGAACTACAAGAAATTCCTCACGAAGCTAGTCACTAGTGAGTACATAATAATTTTCATTACAGGGTTATGGAGATTGTTAAGTTTCATCGAAATCATGAATCATTCATTTTTAGACCGCCATTAGAAACCTGGGAACACTTGACGACAGTTTCGTCCTGGTATGGGACTCATCAGCAGTGCGCATCCATGATAATTCAATGTGTTTGATAAAAGTATTTTTCTCAGCAGAGATAGATGACGGCTAACATTAGAATCTGGGATTCATCTTTCGTTCGACTGACAGCTTATCAGCCAGAAGTATCTGCCACATGTTAGAGCTTATGTCAACCCCAGGACTCGAATTGATTACAGTTTCAATTCAAACATAGTTGGGTTATACATTTAAATAATTAGTTCAGTTAACCAATGGCTTCAGTAATGAGATGAAATCTAGTTACAAATATCCGAGCTAAGTAGATAGTGCATTAGCTTTTAGTAAAAACAATACGTTTTTTGGGTCATTGATCGGATGCGGGTACATCACAACTGACCAGTTCCAAACGGAATGGACCGCATACCCTAGGTTTCATCTTTAAGCACCGTCCAACTTTGCTTTGAAAACGTGTGACCTAATGGCAATATTTAAGCACTTAACATCAAATGTACATATGCAAAAGACATTCATCATTGAGATGATGAAACGATTATTGTTAGACCATCATTAGAAATCTGGAAACATTGGATGACCGTTTAGTCCTAGTATGGGATTCATCAATGAACACCGTACGCGGGAACAGAACTTAGAATCTTCCGTTTTGAGTGTGAACATTTAACCTGTAGCCCACTGAATAGGCATTCATCAGTGTCTATGTTAAACTTTGATCAATCCGAAATATTGCTCAACCTCACCTCATGGGTTCAATTCGTACGAGCTGGGTTTTGTGGATGCGCACTGCTGATGATTCGCATAACAGGATAAAACGACCGTCCCGTGCTTCCAGATTTCTAATGATCGATCGATCGATCATTTCAATCAAACTCAACAATCTTTACAACTGTATCATGAAAAAACATTTATCATTGTTACTAATGTCTTAGATAAATAATTAAATCAAAAAAAGGGAACTAAAAACTATTTGAATTTTCTTTGTGATTGTATAAAATTGTACATTGATAACAACATCATCATCATCATGATCACGAGAAAACTGTCTAATTTTTTAAAAATAAATAAAAAATTTGAACATTGGTCATATGATAAAGTCATTTTTAAAAAAAACTTAAGAAAATTTGACATTTTGTTCAGATTCTTTGCTTGTTTGTAAGAAAACAAGTGAGTACACAGACAGGTAATGTGTCTTTCATAAAAAAACATTGTAAAACAATGTGGATCAATGTTCCAATGTTGTTGTTTAAATTAAAATTATGAAATGATCATTTTATCCGTTGTCGCTGTGGTTGTCGTCGGGGTTGTCGTCGTGGTTGTTGTTGTTGACAATATGGCTGATGATCCTGTTGACATAGTTGACAGATCAACCGACTGTACTGTGGTATTTATGCTTAAATTCATCGTTTCAGTTGGTAATAAAAATTGCTGAGAGTTTCGTAAGAGAATTTCCGGATTAATTGGTGTATTATTATTATTAGATAACATTGTTGCGGCGGCCACTGCTGCTGCCGCTGAACAAGATGAGGTTGACGATGAGATTGTTGAAGATTGACTATGCATAGAAGAAGGCAAATTGATTGATTGATTCTCCATAGTATTATTCAATAATCCTGTATGTTGAAGTAATAATTCAGTGTTTTGATTGAATGGCATTGCAGTTGTTTGTATGGTATTATTGATTGTTAGCGGATAAGACACATTCATTAGATAATTCAATGGTAGAATTTGTTCAATACAATGTGGTGTTAAATAATTGACATTTGAATTAACTGGTATGGTTGTTGTAGTAGGATGTGGTAGATTTGTTAAGAATAATGATGGATTTTGAATGATTAGTGTATCTAATAATTTAGACCATGGTGTTGTCTGAAATAAATGCAAAAAAGAAATATTGTAGTGAAGGAGAACACAGGTGGGGCAACCGAATTACAGCGTCACTCGGTAAAATGAGAAAACCATATCGTAAATCGTTAATTTGCAAAATATCAGTCCATCATGTCGAACTGGACTGTTCCTGTTGCAAAACATCGATCCATTGTCACTATTCATGCGTTTCATACAAATTCCATTGTTTTCTAACTCTTCCTTTCTTGATCTTCCCCCATCTTCTGCTGCCAGACATTACGTTGACGCTCACGTCATATACTACTTATAAGTAGATCGCACCACAGTATTATCAAAAAAAGAATATTGAATATTGAAGTATGTATTGTATATCTGTAATGATTAGATCAGATCGATTAAAGGATTAGAAAAAAGAAGCCGCCAGCTCTTTGTTCTAAAGGTGCAGCCTTAGCGAGCGAGACAGAAGGTCCTGAATGAGATTTCCACTCACCCCATGTTTTGTGGATGTATAATACTGACGAGTCTCGTACTAGGACTTGACAGCCGTACAGTGTTTCCCAGTTTCTAATGGTGGTCTGACGTTGATCGATTTATGATGACAGTAATACTTAACCTATAGACCACTTAGCCGGCATCTAATCGTGTCAATAGTCGTTGGTTAACTGAGTCAAACCTCACACACTACACGGTCGAACTTAATTGATTACGGCTTCCCCCAGGAACTTCAAGAATTACCGTAAAAAAAAGTAGTCACTAATGAGTAAAAGATAATTGTCATTTAGAGAATTGTGCAAATTGTTGAGTTATTAAACCATCATTAGAAATTTGGAAACACTGAGTGGCCGTTTCGCCCTGGTTTGGAATTCGTTAGCACTGTCGACATTCGGTATAACTTCTTGAAATTACTGATAGGAGTTATTTTTTATTGTTAGAAATCAAATGACTGCAAATGATATGCTTAAAAGGCTTCATTTCCATCGCAAACAACATTATTGTACAGTTAGTTATATTGTTAATGTAGTAATGGATAGTTCGTTAAACTGAATGATGGCCGACATGTTTAAAAACATGGAGCTTAAACAAGAGAATAATGAAGAGTTGCATCAGAGCTGATAAGCTAAAATATATGGACGATGAAACAATGATAGCGGAAAAAGCTATAAAGGAATGAAATATGAGATAACTATACGATATAACAAAGAAGTTCATAGGAAAGTATAGTAAACCAGAACGTCCAGTGAAAAGCAAGGAAGGCAAAGTAATCAGCAACATTAAAGAACATAGAAACGGGTGAGTAGAGCACTTTGAAGAACTCACCAATCGACCAACATCACTGAACATACGCTACATAGAAGCAGCACCCACGAATCTCCGAATACATGTTGACCTATCAACAATCGAAGAGAACAGCTTGGTCATCAGACGAATGAAGAGCGGCAAAGCAGAAGGACCAGACAACTTACCAGTTGAGACACTGACAGCCAACATATCAGCAACAGCCAATATGATCCATGGTCACTTCAGAAACATTTGGGAAGAGTAACAAGTACTAGCAGACTGGATAGAAGGAAACCTGGTCAAATTACCTACGAAAGATCTCAGTAAACGTGGATAGTAGAACACTGTGGAGTTTTCTTCGATATTGCGGTAAAAGTGAGAAGATGATCAATATGATACGGAATTCTTATAATCGATTAAACTGCAAGACTGTGCAGTGTGGACAGCCCACAGACGAGCACAAAGTGAAGACAGGTGTTAGTCAAGGTTGGGTAATGTGATTTTTTCTCTTTCTCCTACGGGTCGACTGGATAATGAAGATGTTAACATCTGAGAGGAAGCAGGCATAACAGTGGACAGACCGGATGCAGCTGGGTGATCTAGACTTTGCAGGTGATCTAAATCTTCTATGGTACACACAACAACAAATTCAGAAGAAGATGACCAGTCTAGCAGTGGCCTTTGCAACAGCAGGTCCCAACATACACAAATAAAAATGTAAGATCTTAAGATACAATAAAACATGCAGCAGTCAAATCACACTAGATGGTGAAATCCTGAAAGAAATAGACACAACATGTCTGGGAAGCATCATATATGAGCAAGGTGGATCTGATGCACATGGGAATGTGTGGATTCGCAAAGCAAGGGCAGAATTTCTAAAGCTGAAGAACGTCTAAAACTCGAAAAAACTTTCAACTTACACCGAAGTCAGAATTTTTAATCTGAACATCAAGACAGTTCAAATCTATGGAGTTGGAACCTGGAGAACCACTAAAGTCATCACCAACAACATACAAGTGTTTGCAAGCACTTATCTACCAAAGATATTGAGGATCCGTTGACCAGACACCATCAGCAACAACCTACTTTGAGAGAAAATAAACTAGATTCCAGCAGACGAAGAAATCAGTAAGAAGCGCCAAAGATGAATGGGATAGGATATATAATCCAGAAATCACTGGACTGCATCAGGAGGCAAGCCCAAACTTGGAACCGTCGTAGATAAAGAAAACGCGCAAGACTAAAGAACACATTAATTCGAGAATCGAAAACAGACAGAAGGCTTAGGACAAAGTAGATTGGAAGATGTTGGTCGTCGGCCCATAGTCCATTAGAGATAACAGGAATAAGCACGATGGGTATAGGTATAGTCAACTAGGATAACGTCGCAAGCTCAATTATCAGATAGCCTAACACTGAATTCGTTGAGACTTACCCTTCATACAAACTATTAATTCTGTATAAGAAATATATTCCATATCCCAGTCAAATGTTGACATATACCTTTTTGATATTAACTCATATTGTATATACAAATTTTAATTGTACCTGTCAAAGGACCGAATTATAAAAATGAGGATATATCCTGAATTACTTTTTTTTGAACATGTTCTAAAAAGCCTTTTGACAAGATAGAAAAATTATAACTTTACGTCGTACAATTATTAATGATTAAACATTTTTTTGAGTACAAAGAACATTCGTTTGATAGGGTTACATGCTAATCTTGTGAGATTAGTCAAAGCTATCACTAGTGGGATTCAAAAACCTGCTCTAACTGTGCTCAGTGAGTCAGTCAACTACAGCGTAGAACTTCCTACGTATGTACATCACTTCAGTTTGCAATACCATGATAGCACAGAGACGCAATTGTCAACTCAAATCCCTTGGTGCTAGAGATAGTAGAAGTATTAGCGGTAATGAAGAAGATTAGGGTCTGAATATATCATTCAAGAAGAATCGGTAAGCAAAATAAATTTAAAAAGATAAAGTGAAGAAGAATTAAAAAGTTTAGGATTTGAGAGAACACAAAGAATGAATTCATCTGCGCCACTGCAAACGGTTTTGGGCCATATCATACAAAGTCTCATACCATCGGTTACTATTATCGCGCGGACCCCAACTAAGTAGTCTACACCTACATCCAGTTGTCAGTGATTTCATAGATTTGTGCTATGAAGTTTTTGTATTCAGCCCACCCCTACATCACAAAACATCGCTCGTCGGGGCAGTCGCTGGACGGGCATTCGTAATACATGTAAAAGCCGCCTCAACTCATGAAGTTTCAATGATTCAGTAAGCAATACCTTTTTCCTGATGGTCCCACGATATGCGAGCTATGCTTTGAAGACACCTGTGATCGAATACTAATAGCCTATTCTAACTGACTGTGTTTCACAACCGTATTGTAGGAGGGATCGAACTTTTGCACAGTAGACTCATCTTTTATTTAGCAGCGTGTTTTCTCTTTGCTTTGGTGAAAGATATTCCCTTAATACATCATAAAATAAGACAATAGACCTTGCTTAACTCTTTCTTTCAATCAGTTACATCATTACATCTTTTTATGTCGACCATCGTCTAGATTAGTAATCTGATTTATACTAACCAAGTATTGCTCATTTTATGCTTACTTATTATCAACGATAATCATTACGTAATTATTTACTGATAGTTATTTGAACTTTTGTCATTAACCATGTTCTATAATGTTCTTTCATATAAGGGTGTTTATTGATCATGTTTTAATCAGTCTGTTAAACTTATTTACATACCTATTACGTAACTATCAAACTAAACTCTTTCATCCAAATAATTCAAATCGATTTTGTAAACTTATGGTTTCTTTTTTAAATTACACGATGTGAACAACTCGAAAGAACCAAGTAAAATAAAGCGAGACTCATTAGAAGTGCGAATTCACGATCCTCGATAGCTAGACTCGAACCGAGAACTGTCAGTCTCGTACGCGGATGCTTAATCTGGGTTGGCCGGTCTCCAACAGTGTTAATGTCGAACTTCAATCAATACAAAGTCATAGGCAACCTCATTCATTGACTTCGGATGGTAGCAGCTCACATCCTAAAGGTTTGAGCTACAATGGTCACGACATCTGACTAGGACTGGGAGAAATTTCCTCACGAAGCTAGTCACTAGTGTGAACATTATTGTGATTCTCATCATGCAGTTGTCAAGATCGAAGTTCGTGGGTTAAGACTGCTTGGACACTATCAACAACTTCGTGTTATTGACCTGGGTGTTATATCCAGGTATCCATTCACTTGTACATTATTGCGTTATTGATATTTTGACTCAAATTTGATCAATATGGCGGAATGCACGTCTTGAATCCCACTGTTAGCTGTCATATTCCATCTATTCTAATATAAACCTGTATCTTATTATCTATATCAAGACAGTCCGCATGGAATAACAACCAGGATGAGTCATATTTCAGTCAAAATAACAATATCTAGAACACTGCCTGGGGCTCCTCTGAGGTCACTGCCGGTCGCAAGCCCGAAAAAAGGGGTGGAGGGCTGGGTATGGGCATAGTGACCCCATTCCATAGAAAACCAAATCGCAGCAAAAATACACTAGCTAGAAAAAAATGACAGTCAACTTAAAATATCATTTTCAAAAAAACCCCATCTATCACATTTTAAACTTACTAAATTTGATGAATAAATCGGTTGTGGCAATGATGTACAATTCAATAAGATTAATTGATATAATTTCTCATAATCCATTTGATTCAATGTATTAGGGAATAAATTTTGATCTGAATAAAAATGTGGCGATTTTATTGGATTATTATTGAATATTGAACAAGACGGAGTTGATAAAAACAAATTGGACGGATTCAAATTCGGCGGTTGAATAGGATACAATAGATTATTCACTAGAATATTTGATAAATTTGATGTGATTGGATTTGGAATGAGACAAGAATGAGATGGATGATTAATGATGGTTTGTGATAATTCTTGCTGTTGCCGCTGTTGTTGTAATGAGGATGTTGATGATGTAGGTGGATTCAAGTGTTGTGGTTGTTGTTGTTGCTGTGGATGACAAACGACTGGATTTGTTAATTGCATTGAATCCACATAACAATCAGGCAAGAGACTTTGTAAATTATTATCTTTGTTCAATGTTCCAATGTATGGTTGAGGCAGTTTTAATGGAGGATGATTTGGAATTTTCTCGAAATTTCTATTTTCTTCAATGGTAGTTAATAAACCACCAATAGATTTACGTGATTTTGATGCATCACGTATTACTTTCTCACGAAGATATTGTGCATGTCGTTTAGCGACAATTTTATCTCTGATTAGTTTTGGTGGATGATAAAAATAGCAGTCGGATCGATTACAAGTAAGCTGTAAGTTGTTTCAAGTTTCAATCGGAAAATAAAAAAGAATGAACAAAATAAGATAAGATTTTCAATAGTTGTAAAGATTATTGAAGTTTATTGGACTTGTGAATTGATCATTGATAAACTATCGTGATGTTAGAAACCTTGAATCAGTGGATGGTGCGCGAATGGTTACCCTGTAGACCATAGAGCCAGCATACAACTGTGTCATTATTTAACTTCAATCATTCGAAGGTATTGAGTGACCTCATCCGTTGTTTTTGGTGAGTAACTGCCTACACCCTACAGGGTTGCGATCAACTGGTCACGACATCTTACTAGAGAGACTTACTAGAGAAACTTCCTCATGGAGCTAGTCATTAGTGCGCACTCATTGTGATTTTCAGTATCGGCGGTGCGCATCTACGACCTACGCACGAAGGAATCGAAACCAGCACATTCAGTCTCGTGCGCGGTTGTTTAAGCTGCTGATCTGGGGTCGTGGATGTACACTATTGATGAATCCCATACTTAAAAGAAACGGAAGTCCAGTTCTTTGTTCCAAATTCATTCATAAATAACAATTGTACTGTTATTATCATTATGAAATGACGAAAATCGTTAATTAAACATGTCAAGAACGATTTATATTTTCAAAGAAACTCAGCAATCTTTACAACTCTCTAATGAAAACGATCACTTGCTCATTAATGACTGATTTCCTGAAGAAGTTTTCGGAGTTCTAATGACAAGCCATAACCAGGGGAGTTCAGTCGTGTCGAGTGTGAGGTCTGAGGAAGTTGACCAACGAATATAATGGATGATGGGATTGATGACATGACTGGATGCCGGTTCAATGGTCCAGAGGTCAAATGTTCACACGCGAGACTAATGTTCTTGAATTCGATTCATATTTGCGGGTTTGTGGATTCCTGCCAATAACGAGTCCCATTCAATGACAATATGGTGGTTCAGTATTTTGAAGTTTCTAGTGGTTGTCTAACATTGATTGATTCATTATTTCAGGTATTTTTAAATGTATTTCTAACTTGGAAAAATGATGATAAGATTCAAATGTATTTCTAAATAAACTATCCGTACACATGAACCACAAGTTAGAGTTAATTGTTATCGGTAAAAACAGTTACATATCTGGGCAGTATCATTGATGAGCTAGGTGGATATAATGCAGATGTAAAGGTGCGGATCGGCATGGCAAAGGCAGCATTTCTACAATCGAACAACATCTGAAATTCAAAAGATCTATCAAACGAAACTCAAAAATCAGAATTTCCGATACAAATATCCAAACAGTTCTACTGTATGAGGCTGAAAATTGGAAAGATAACAAAGCTATCCTCCAGAAGATACAAGTATTCATTAAAAGTTGTTCACGAAAAATATTGAGGATCCATTGACCAGACACCAATAGAAACAACTTACTGTGGTAGAGAACAAACCAGATTTCACTGAAGGGGAAATCGGGAAGAAGTGGTGGAAGGAGATAGGAACACACTGCGAAAAGCAGCCAACTGCCTCACAAGACAAGCTCTCACTCGGAACCTTTTAACGTAAAAGGAACAGAGGAAGGCCGAGAAATTTGAGAAAGATGTAAGAAGAATGAACATTAGTTGAATAGAACTGGAAAGGAAGGCACAGGACAGAGTAGGTTGGAGAATACTGGTCGGCACCCTATGATCCACTGGGGGTAACAAGTAAGTAAGTAAGTAAGTAAGTAAGTAGGTAAGTAAGTAAGTAAGTGCATTAGTAAGTAGGTAAGTAAGTAAGTAAGTAAGTAAGTGCATTAGTAGGTAGGTAAGTAAGTAAGTAAATAAGTAAGTAAGTAAGTAAGTAATTAAGTAAGTAAATATGTGTAGATATTCATGAACAACATTCTTTTAAAAGAAAATTAAAAAAACATACAATTTCAAAATTTCACTTATCCACTCACATTCACTAATCCCATTGAATCAAAACAAACTCGAACTTGACCATCGGATGACAGTGGGACTTGATCATTTGGACCAATATGTGCAGCTTGACATAATTGTGATGATTCTGGTAAGATACCATTAGCATTATTATATCCGATACAATAACCTGTTGTACGATATTGTAGACAAATTGGCCATTTACACCAATCTTGTCGTCGATTACGTGAAGTATTAGTATTATTACTGTTATTCACTGTGTATTGATTTTTTATTCGACTACTTGTTGTCAGAGTTGTTGGTGTGGTTGTTGTGGAACATGACGATGACGGCGGTGGTATGGAAGAGGAGGAGGATGATGAAGAGGATGTCGATGGTATGTTCGTGGCATTTAATCCAGCCGATGGATCATTAATCGATATGGAGAATGGAGTTATATCTGTAGTGAGTTGATGATTACTTTTGTTATTCTCAGTAGAAAATTGTAATTCAGTTTTATCTGAATGTGAAACGAAAATTTGTCAAATCAATTGATAACATTGAATATTGATGAATATATCCTGATACAATTTATGTATAAATTTACCCTGTATAGTCAAGGGTAATGTTACATTTGTTTTCAGGAGAAAACAAAGAGACTGCACACGTTTTACCATTAATACATGAACAGTTTGGCTCAATTCTGTGGTGCAACCACACGGGTACCTGATAACCTCTGGTGGACCATTCTTACCATTTACATATATACACACTGGTGTATATATATTTCCGATCAATGATCGCGTTAATCAATATGCACCGTATGAACTGGCCATTTCGACCCATCCCGCTTACATGACTGTCAAACTCATTATTATTAGCAATGGTGTGATATGTAATACAGCACCCCAATGACAATGGCCCTCGGGAATGTTGCAAAACAACCACATGTATCAATGAAATCGGTCGCCCCGCTAACCAATTTTGTATATGGACTGTTAACAATGTTTACCAAAGCAATGCCAAACCATCCACAATTTTCACAGAGAACCTCAAGTCTCATAGGAGACCTTCAGCTCTATATAGCAGTATAGCATATGGTGTACACATATATGGTGTAGGATAGTAGAAGAGGCAGTCCAGCTTAATGCACATAGGCTCAACCACATCTATTACCCTTTGTCTCATGTCGGGCAACGATTTTTTTCGCGTTTCGGAAATTTTCGTTTTTCGGACCATATGGGGAACCTGAGTTAGGGGTAGAATCCCTAAGTAATACTTAATTTGAAAGTGTGGCGCTCAGCGCGCTACCTGAGTTCGAATCCTGCGAGGTACAGGAGTCGTGGATGCGCATGATGGGAGACTGCATACGAGGACACGCGAAAGACGAGTCCATCCAGTGCTACAAAGTTTCTAATCTGGTGGGTGTCTAATATTGATCGAATTCATGATATCAAATGATTTCTATTACAAATCTCATTATAAAGTTAAAACAAAGAACTTTTATTATATTCAAAATAATAGGATTAATAGGTAAAATCATATCAAAATATCATTTGATGGTTATTATGAAGATTATTTAGTAAAAGTAGATAGAATTAGTTTTCATTTTGTCAATTATTGTTAGCATTTAACTCCGGCTGGAGCCTCACTGTAGTTACTACTAATCCAAAGCCTAAATAACGAAGGAGGGTTTGGGCATGGGCTTAGCGACTCTACCCGCGAAAATCGCTAACCAGAAAAAACAACTAGAATCATTAAAACTCCGCCCTGAGAATTGGAAGATATTCTTTTAGGAGAGTTATGACACCTCATAATGAAAGCCGAGTTCCTTTGGATATCACAAGGCCTATGTTTCCTTCTCATTACCACACCAACAATTACTATTAGGTAGATTGAATCTTCACACAATGTGAAAGGCTGGCACAACTATTCAAGTTGATGCAGAAATGAGAAGATATAACCTGCTGGTGGCTTTCAAATTATTTCTGATCTTTGAAGCAGTTTCTTTCAGAAGAGCTTTTGACAAGTAGATTGTTGCTTAGTCCCTAACTCGAACCCAACAATGTTCCGTGGTTTAACTGGACCTTCAGCATATAATGAAGTTATTGATTCTATATTTTCATAAGAAATAGATCGTCTAAGTCCATGGTTATTCTATGATAATAGTTGTGTATCGAGTTGTTGCAATGACCTAAATGATCCCAACTAACTCATAAGACAGTAACCACAGTTATACCAGCTCAAAGACTAACATGCAACTATAAATATATGAGAACTATTAGATTTCTTGATAAACATATATTTTCGAATACAAGCTAATAAGCAAATGGTCGATACTGTCAACTTCATCTTGTTAACTCTATGTTATAATTTTCAGTATCGGGTTGTGAAGATTGTTGAGTTTCACTGAAATCATGAACTGATCACTGCTAGACCACAGCTTGAAACTATGAAGCAGTGGGACTGCCATTTTTGTCCCTAGTATGGGACTCAATTAGCAACTACGCATCCATCAAGTCTCACATCAGCAGAATCACACCGCAACGTTCGATCTTCACAACTATATAATTAAAAATCATAGCATTATGAGAAAATTTGGGGAATTGTTGTGCGAAATCGTAACCAGTGTTGTAGTTATCCACTGAAGACAGTGGATGAGGTTGAGTAATACCTTAGATTGATTGGAGTTAGGATTTAGCGGTTAAGTGTTCGTGCTTGAGACCGAAGTTCATGGGTTGGATCCCCGCGTACAGGGGATCGTATATGCACACTCCTGATGAACCACATACTAGAACTTGACAGCCATCGAATGCTTCCAAGTTTCTAATGTTGGTCGGAATTATATATGATTATTGTATGTGAGAATGCGGTGGTGAATAGTTGGCTCCGGAGGGGGATCGAACCCCCGACTACCTGGTTGTGGTCCTCAAGACGAAAGTCACCGATGGTTAGAGACCTTGAACGACATGGCTGAAAATCGTTTTCAATGTCGCAAGTGCATCCATTCTTTGAGCTCTCTAAAATCCTAATCTTCTGGATTCGTCAGTACTTCTACCTTTGTCTTCTAACCTTATCTCACTGAATTATATTCGTGAATAACTATCTTCCAACCCTAGTCTTCTTCCTTACCATTAATACCTCTACTATCATCTTCAATCACTATGGGATTTGATTTGACATTTGCGTCTCTGTGTTAATGTGGTACGGCAACATGAACTTATGTACATACGCCGTACGAAGTTCTACGTTGCTACTGACTGACTGACGGAATATATATATTCTAATTATCGTTCTAAGCAACTAACATTTGCTCATGTATTGTGATGATACAAGAGTTGGATTGTGGGCTGTGTATTAATTTGCATAGAGTAGATTGAATGCAATGTTATTGATAATGACGGGTGATATAGTGTTGCAGTGTGCTTAAACTTACCTGGCGCCGGGTTCAGGGTGATCAGGAATGCTCTGACCCGGGTGGAGGCTCACCATTGCACTTCGGTGGGTTGAAACTCGCGAAACCCTAATCGGGTGCGCTCGGGCGTGTAGTTTTTGTCAGTGGGGAGCCTCACGGTCCTCCCTTTCAATTATAAAATAGTACAACTCACTAAACTCATCATCCATCACGTTACCAACCCAATGTCGTCACACACTCCTGCCTTTACTACACACACACACCCAATTACTTACTCAGCTCAATCACACCGATACCAGTACAGCACACCGTACAATACACACATCAAACTATCTATCCATCATATATTTTTCTTCATGTCAGCAGCTAAAATCACTGATCATTCGCTTCCACATGGCCGACATCATGCTAACAGCTTGATTTCCTGTCAAGATGCTTGATCACATTCACCTGTCCACATCATCTAACTCAAATTCATCGCTCTCATTATTGCATTCCACACCAATTTCGCATGTATTCAATGATTCAATGATTCAAATGATGATAATCTACACAAAACTCCATCAGAACTTGTATTGTAAAAGACAAAGGACCAGATCAGACCAAACCAGACCAGACCAGATTGAAATGAACTGTTCATAATGAATGAATGAACTGTGTATTCCAGTTCAATGTAAGTGATTGGAGTTGCTGCAGTTCAACCTACTGAATTAGCTTCATCATGAAATCAGTAGTATATAACGTGTATGGTTTGTATTTGATTAAATGAGGATAGATCAATGTGTGTTGAAGATGGTTTAGCGAAATGTACGAAATTTTGTTAGTCAATGCATTAGCAACTAACATTTGCTCATGTATTGTGATGATACAAGAGTTGGATTGTGGGCTGTGTATTAATTTGCATAGAGTAGATTGAATGCAATGTTATTGATAATGACCGGGTGATATAGTGTTGCAGTGTGCTTAAACTTACCTGGCGCCGGGTTCAGGGTGATCAGGAATGCTCTGACCCCGGGTGGAGGCTCACCATTGCACTTCGGTGGGTTGAAACTCGCGACGAACCCTAATCGGGTGCGCTCGGGCGTGTAGTTTTTGTCAGTGGGGAGGCCTCACGGTCCTCCCTTTCAATTATAAAATAGTACAACTCACTAAACTCATCATCCATCACGTTACCAACCCAATGTCGTCACACACTCCTGCCTTTTACTACACACACACACTCCAATTACTTACTCAGCTCAATCACACCGATACACAGTACAGCACACCGTACAATACACACATCAAACTATCTATCCATTCATATATTTTCTTCTATGTCAGCAGCTAAAATCACTGATCATTCGCTTCCACATGGCCGCCATCATGCTAACAGCTTGATTTCCTGTCAAGATGCTTGATCACATTCACCTGTCCACATCATCTAACTCAAATTCATCGCTCTCATTATTGCATTCCACACCAATTTCGCATGTATTCAATGATTCAATGATTCAAATGATGATAATCTACACAAAACTCCATCAGAACTTGTATTGTAAAAGACAAAGGACCAGATCAGACCAAACCAGACCAGACCAGATTGAAATGAACTGTTCATAATGAATGAATGAACTGTGTATTCCAGTTCAATGTAAGTGATTGGAGTTGCTGCAGTTCAACCTACTGAATTAGCTTCATCATGAAATCAGTAGTATATAACGTGTATGGTTTGTATTTGATTAAATGAGGATAGATCAATGTGTGTTGAAGATGGTTTAGCGAAATGTACGAAATTTTGTTAGTCAATGCATTAGCAACTAACATTTGCTCATGTATTGTGATGATACAAGAGTTGGATTGTGGGCTGTGTATTAATTTGCATAGAGTAGATTGAATGCAATGTTATTGATAATGACCGGGTGATATAGTGTTGCAGTGTGCTTAAACTTACCTGGCGCCGGGTTCAGGGTGATCAGGAATGCTCTGACCCCGGGTGGAGGCTCACCATTGCACTTCGGTGGGTTGAAACTCGCGACGAACCCTAATCGGGTGCGCTCGGGCGTGTAGTTTTTGTCAGTGGGGAGGCCTCACGGTCCTCCCTTTCAATTATAAAATAGTACAACTCACTAAACTCATCATCCATCACGTTACCAACCCAATGTCGTCACACACTCCTGCCTTTTACTACACACACACACTCCAATTACTTACTCAGCTCAATCACACCGATACACAGTACAGCACACCGTACAATACACACATCAAACTATCTATCCATTCATATATTTTCTTCTATGTCAGCAGCTAAAATCACTGATCATTCGCTTCCACATGGCCGCCATCATGCTAACAGCTTGATTTCCTGTCAAGATGCTTGATCACATTCACCTGTCCACATCATCTAACTCAAATTCATCGCTCTCATTATTGCATTCCACACCAATTTCGCATGTATTCAATGATTCAATGATTCAAATGATGATAATCTACACAAAACTCCATCAGAACTTGTATTGTAAAAGACAAAGGACCAGATCAGACCAAACCAGACCAGACCAGATTGAAATGAACTGTTCATAATGAATGAATGAACTGTGTATTCCAGTTCAATGTAAGTGATTGGAGTTGCTGCAGTTCAACCTACTGAATTAGCTTCATCATGAAATCAGTAGTATATAACGTGTATGGTTTGTATTTGATTAAATGAGGATAGATCAATGTGTGTTGAAGATGGTTTAGCGAAATGTACGAAATTTTGTTAGTCAATGCATTAGCAACTAACATTTGCTCATGTATTGTGATGATACAAGAGTTGGATTGTGGGCTGTGTATTAATTTGCATAGAGTAGATTGAATGCAATGTTATTGATAATGACCGGGTGATATAGTGTTGCAGTGTGCTTAAACTTACCTGGCGCCGGGTTCAGGGTGATCAGGAATGCTCTGACCCCGGGTGGAGGCTCACCATTGCACTTCGGTGGGTTGAAACTCGCGACGAACCCTAATCGGGTGCGCTCGGGCGTGTAGTTTTTGTCAGTGGGGAGGCCTCACGGTCCTCCCTTTCAATTATAAAATAGTACAACTCACTAAACTCATCATCCATCACGTTACCAACCCAATGTCGTCACACACTCCTGCCTTTTACTACACACACACTCCAATTACTTACTCAGCTCAATCACACCGATACACAGTACAGCACACCGTACAATACACACATCAAACTATCTATCCATTCATATATTTTCTTCTATGTCAGCAGCTAAAATCACTGATCATTCGCTTCCACATGGCCGCCATCATGCTAACAGCTTGATTTCCTGTCAACATGCTTGATCACATTCACCTGTCCACATCATCTAACTCAAATTCATCGCTCTCATTATTGCATTCCACACCAATTTCGCATGTATTCAATGATTCAATGATTCAAATGATGATAATCTACACAAAACTCCATCAGAACTTGTATTGTAAAAGACAAAGGACCAGATCAGACCAAACCAGACCAGACCAGATTGAAATGAACTGTTCATAATGAATGAATGAACTGTGTATTCCAGTTCAATGTAAGTGATTGGAGTTGCTGCGGTTCAACCTACTGAATTAGCTTCATCATGAAATCAGTAGTATATAACGTGTATGGTTTGTATTTGATTAAATGAGGATAGATCAATGTGTGTTGAAGATGGTTTAGCGAAATGTACGAAATTTTGTTAGTCAATGCATTAGCAACTAACATTTGCTCATGTATTGTGATGATACAAGAGTTGGATTGTGGGCTGTGTATTAATTTGCATAGAGTAGATTGAATGCAATGTTATTGATAATGACCGGGTGATATAGTGTTGCAGTGTGCTTAAACTTACCTGGCGCCGGGTTCAGGGTGATCAGGAATGCTCTGACCCCGGGTGGAGGCTCACCATTGCACTTCGGTGGGTTGAAACTCGCGACGAACCCTAATCGGGTGCGCTCGGGCGTGTAGTTTTTGTCAGTGGGGAGGCCTCACGGTCCTCCCTTTCAATTATAAAATAGTACAACTCACTAAACTCATCATCCATCACGTTACCAACCCAATGTCGTCACACACTCCTGCCTTTTACTACACACACACACTCCAATTACTTACTCAGCTCAATCACACCGATACACAGTACAGCACACCGTACAATACACACATCAAACTATCTATCCATTCATATATTTTCTTCTATGTCAGCAGCTAAAATCACTGATCATTCGCTTCCACATGGCCGCCATCATGCTAACAGCTTGATTTCCTGTCAACATGCTTGATCACATTCACCTGTCCACATCATCTAACTCAAATTCATCGCTCTCATTATTGCATTCCACACCAATTTCGCATGTATTCAATGATTCAATGATTCAAATGATGATAATCTACACAAAACTCCATCAGAACTTGTATTGTAAAAGACAAAGGACCAGATCAGACCAAACCAGACCAGACCAGATTGAAATGAACTGTTCATAATGAATGAATGAACTGTGTATTCCAGTTCAATGTAAGTGATTGGAGTTGCTGCGGTTCAACCTACTGAATTAGCTTCATCATGAAATCAGTAGTATATAACGTGTATGGTTTGTATTTGATTAAATGAGGATAGATCAATGTGTGTTGAAGATGGTTTAGCGAAATGTACGAAATTTTGTTAGTCAATGCATTAGCAACTAACATTTGCTCATGTATTGTGATGATACAAGAGTTGGATTGTGGGCTGTGTATTAATTTGCATAGAGTAGATTGAATGCAATGTTATTGATAATGACCGGGTGATATAGTGTTGCAGTGTGCTTAAACTTACCTGGCGCCGGGTTCAGGGTGATCAGGAATGCTCTGACCCCGGGTGGAGGCTCACCATTGCACTTCGGTGGGTTGAAACTCGCGACGAACCCTAATCGGGTGCGCTCGGGCGTGTAGTTTTTGTCAGTGGGGAGGCCTCACGGTCCTCCCTTTCAATTATAAAATAGTACAACTCACTAAACTCATCATCCATCACCTTACCAACCCAATGTCGTCACACACTCCTGCCTTTTACTACACACACACTCCAATTACTTACTCAGCTCAATCACACCGATACACAGTACAGCACACCGTACAATACACACATCAAACTATCTATCCATTCATATATTTTGTTCTATGTCAGCAGCTAAAATCACTGATCATTCGCTTCCACATGGCCGCCATCATGCTAAC